GGGGGAAATGTGCATAAAGTATCTCACAAATGTATTTACAGCATTTTTAAATTTCAATAAAAATGTCGACCTGTAGTAGAAATTCACCCTTAAAGAAATGTTATATTTACAATTTATACATTTGTATTTAAATAGAAACATGCAAGTGTTAACATCTTCCTACTGAATGTGAAATAATAAAAAAAAAAAAAATTAATTAATCTTACCCTGGATTCTTTCAAGTTAGAATTAATATTAATTACTACTTACAATGAAATCTCATGAACAACCCCGATACATTTACATCTTCCTCATTTCCTTTAAGATGGCAAAATAGAAGAAGAAAAAAATATTAAGCAAAGGGGGGCAGAAAAATAAATACGTGTGAGTAGCAAACTGTTACAAATTGATCGAATGCTAAATTTTGTACATTTGACTACAAGATAGTGTCGGGAACACAAGGCGCGGACCTGTACTTACAAAGTGTACCAGTGTATGAAGACATTGACTGGGCTGGCAACACCCACAGAGGACTCCCCATGAGAAAAGTGGCCTCCAGCTTTAAGTACAAAATGGCTCAAGCCATCTGTGTTTGGTTATAAAAACAGATCTATATATACACATATATATATATACACACACACATATATATATATATACACACATATATAGATATATATACTTAAACCAGTACACAAAATTGCAAAAAGCTAAAGGCATTGGACACTTGAGTTCAACAGGTTTCTCACTGAGGCAAAAAAAAAGAAAAAAAAAAAAAAAAAAAAAAAAGCAGGGGAAAAAGATCCCGAGCCAAAAAAAGTTTTCCACAGAAAACTTCTGTTTTTTTTGTAAAAATCCTGCATAGATTAAAATAATACCCCCTCTATAGATTAAAATAATACCCCCCTCTGGCTTTCTCTTCTTCAAGTGCCAGAGGAAATAACAGTATCCCCTCCTACAATTAAGGCCAGGGAGCCAGTGAATGAAAGAAAATACAAAACAAAAAAAAGGTCAAACCTGGGTCAAATGCTTAAATCCTTAAATTGAGATGAAAAGGGTGTAAAATAAAGTGACGATACACCGAATTTATGATTGAAATTTTGAAGAAACGTGTCAATTACAGTTTCCATGAATACTATTCGACCCAAGCTTAAAAGGTTTCCAGCATGTTTTAGGAGGAAGCGAGCTTAAAAAAAAAAACACACCAAAATAAAAAGCACAGTCCTTCATGTCATTGACGGTTAACAAACACCCAAATGTCAACTGAACTCTTGGGTAGAATGTCAACATCTTCATTCAAAAACCACTGCCGTCCACATTTCCCTCAATGACAGCCGGTACTATTAAATATGAGAAATGTAATATGTGGACAGCTGGCGTACACCGTTACAACTTGACGACACGGTTCTTATCTACCGTCTGGTAATACAAGCGTGATTCAAACTTAAATAGGAAAAAAAATGACATACACAAACAAATACTTTGCATCTCATAACCCTTGGTTCAACCCTGTTAAAGTTAGACTTCTGCTAGGCCAGAGGAAGAGAAAAAAAACTAAAAAAAACAAAAAAAAAAAAAAAAACTGCTTGGTATATAAATAAAATCTATATTGGCCGTTGCACTTCTTTTTTCGAAATATATAATGATAGATTTAAAACTCTTTGTTCTATAAATGCAACACTGACGAGTTTGCCTCTCTAAATATTGCCTTACAGGTGAACTTGCTTTTTGTTGTGCCAAATTAGTGGTCACTCAGGCCCGGTTTCTATAAACTGCACCGTAAATAACTGCATTGTGTGTGGAAATGATCTTCAATACTTTAAGACACTCCTGCTGTTCCTTAGAAAAATACACTCTGAGCAAACAAGGGATCAAACGATGAATAACACTGTCTGGAAGTCACTCTGCCTCGAGGAAAAGTTCTCAATGAACAATGTCGCTACGAGTGTTAACAACATGTCAGAGGAAGAGGCTCGTATTCTGGAGCTTCAAACGCAGAACATCTCTTAGAGAGAACATTGTCGAGATCAATTCTATTAAGGCCAAGAGCCGAAAAGGCCCCGCTAGCGGCCCCTAGAGGCCAGGATGCTCCTTGCATTAAACCGGACCACGGTGGTTTGAGCAAACTGACCCAACATTCAACCTTTGTAGCAGGGTTAAAATGAGTCCATGATTGTGGAAAATAAAAACACCGGTTTAAAAACAAATACACTGATGAGTAAGAACATTTATAAATACGTGTGTGTCAGAAGTATTAATCTGCTGTGCACGGTAGCCCTTCCTACGGTCCGTTCTTAAATAGTGTGGGCACGCTTCAAGATTAAAGCTTTAGCGCCTGGAGACTCTGCAGGAAAGATAAAAATCAAGATGGCGGTAATGTAGCTTCATGTGTGGCCAACTCCATCTTTACTCTAAAATGTGTTAACAGGACTTGATTTAAAACTGAAAGACTGCAATCAAAAACATGAACGTTGCCAGCTTCCGTTAACGGTTAAATATTTTAAAATGCATCAAATTAGTTAAAGCAAAAAATATAATAAAAAAGGGAAAATGTATTCAGATATGACGGGTGGCTGTTTGTCTTTCCTGTCACTTACATACAAGGCACAAAAATGATAAAGAGAAACCTTCATTTTAAAGCACCTTTGGTGTTCATGGGAGGTACTTTGGTGAAACAAAGTCAAATAAAAAGTTAAAAGCCAAAGTAGCCTAAAAACCAAACCCCTAATTTTTTTCAGCGTTTTTCATAGCAAATAGTTCACCCAGCGCGTCCGTGCCAAACGGATAGAAACATGGCAAAGATTGTAAGAATGCCGATATATGAAGCATGGCGACAAGCTTTTGTTTTTGTTCCTGTGCTGCAGTTCCCCATGTTTCTCCCTGTGTGGTGCTGTCGACGGTGTGAGATGCTCTAGAGTGCTCAGTGTTTTTGGCAAGCTGGTGTAGAAAATGGACACAGTGTTGGAGATATGTCTGAGAAGTTCATCACGTGTGTGTGTGTGTGTGTGTGTGTGTGCGTACAGTACATCATTGTATGTGTGTCTGTCTGTGAGCGCATGCGTGACCGTCTTTGAGCACATGTTCCTTAACTCAAGAAGCTGAGGTGTGTGTGTGTGTGTGTGTGTGTGAGGAAGCAGCGAGCAGGGAACGAGTCCTTGCTAGGGAATAAGCTTTGCGTCCAGACGCAGCCAGTGGAGGCCCTGCCGCGTGTAACGCACCAGTTCTGTCATGCTGCTGGTGTTGAAGATCAGAGGACCCATCACTTTGTCCAACTCCAAGAAGAATTCTGGGGACACAGAAGACACATCGAGAGTAGCGTCAGCTTAAACGCCTGCGATTCAATGAGTCTTCAAGATGGAGACAAGCAACATCATTCATATTTTTCTTATTCTCATTTTCTGTGCTTTATTTCTTCATAATCAATTCAATGTTTGGTCTATAAAATGTCAGAAAATAGTGAAAAACTATTTCCAAGAGCCTAAAATGATGTCTTAAAGCTGATTGTTATAACCGACCAACAGTTCAAAAACCAAAGATATTCAGAATTCACGAATTCTTATATTTGAGGAGCTAAAACCAGCATGTTTGATAAATGAAAAAAGATAATTGACTAGCAAAACTGTTTCCTGCTGATCAACTCATCGTTTCAGCACTATTAAATTGATCGTACTCATTAGGAGTTCTAGCTAATCATCATGGTATTCAAAAGCTCATTTTTCAGGGTATTTTTGCCTTTGACAGTAGAGAAGTAACAGGGAAAGGAAAGTGGAAGACACACAACTGAGGTCTCTTAAATGGTCGGACTGTATATTTCATTTGTTAAACTAAAAGTGCTGGAATTGTAAGAAACTTCCAGAATATTAGCATTACCATAAAAAAGTGGTGAAACATGTGGGATCCTGCTGCAACACTGAAGTCATAAAAGCGGTGGGTGTAACACCGATGTGCATTTTCAGTATTGCAATCAGTCCGGAATTCCCCTTTTCATTTGGTCCCCCCCACTTGATACGACAATCCACTAATGTTATATGTTGTCCCAAATCATGGTCTGTTTTAAGACGTAGCTCACCTTTCTGCTCCTTGGATAGCTGCTCCGCCTGGTCCCAGACCTCGGTGGCGTACAGGAAGTTGGAGGTGACCTGGACGTAGCTGGCAGCCATCTGGTGGATACGCTGAGGTATGGTCACAGACGAGCTGGCGCTGCTGCTGCTGCTACTGACGGACGAGTAGCCCCCGGCCGTGCCCGGCGACAGTTTGGGGGACACGGGAGAGGGCATACCCGCTGCCTTGCTGAATTAGGAAACAGAGAAGAGCACGGTTGTGAAAAAAAGAGCCGGTACTGGTTTAGAAACGGGTACACGGCACGTTGTCTTTTCTAAAAAAAAAAAAAACAAGCACCTGTGAACGCATGACGGTTAACAAACTGAAAATCATCCCTGACGGCAGATTTTATGTAATTGCAGACGACTTAAGAGCGTCAAACTGTTCTTCTGTGGAAGTCTAAAACTTTTTACCATTGGGGGAAATGTCTAACCCATTTTCTCTCAACATTCAACACGTGCAGGAAACAGATGTCTCCTTTACAATCATGTTTCCTCTCCTAACAGCAAAGAAGGACGCGACTTACTTTCCCATTCCAGGAGAGGGAGCCTGGGTGTTACTCAGAGAATTCTGTCAAACAAAATGAAGGAAAGAACATTATGTACAAAGCAGGTTACACATTCACTTCATTGAGTGAATGTTTGCCAAGCCAAACTTGATTTCAGCTTCCAGACAAACAAAAAAAGCACCTTTAAGTGTTCGGTGAGGGTTTTGGAGTATTTTAGTGCGCTGTCTTTCCTCAGCTTAAATAACCGCAGGTAGAGGAGGGACTGGCATCGGAGGCTGCAAAGAGGGAAAAAAAAAAAAAAAAGCTTCATTTTAGATGTGAAACATGCAAAGAAGACAGCAATGACCAGAGGGAGGTGGGCTGAATAAACACACATCCCTCCTTCAAATCAAATAGCTGGGGCTTTGAGGACTGTCAGCTGAAGGCTGAGGACAGGACGACACCTCTTCAACATGAAATACATCAGCTGTTGTCAGACAGCGTACTCACCAAAGCACAGCTAGCCTCTTGTCTGCTGAAGTAGCATCTGGGGCCAGGTAGCTTTTTAACTTCATAGTGTATCTGAATGTACAGACGGAACAAATGTTTAGTTCCTTGGAGAACAAACTGCTTATGTCATGACAGAAACATTCATTTCAATAAAAGTGACATGTAACACACTGACTTTGCACTTCTAGAACATGAATTAACAATGGAAGTTAAAATAAAAACATGGATCCAGCACAACCAGATATCCTCTTTAATTCCAAACATTCGTCTTTCGTGCCAAAACCTGGCGGCAACATTACCCACAATTCAACCAGCGCAGTTCATTTAGATATTGCGTGTGTAATGTTAGTAGCAGGTAAAGTAGCCTCACACCGCTAGCCACAAGCTGACTTCTGTCTAACTCTACACCACCAGGTGTGTTTTCATATTCAAACTTGTCGTCCTCAGCCACAACTCACGCTGACTCATGCATCATCCCTAAAGGCAGTGGTACCACACAACACCTGTAAACAGAGATGTGTACAGATGGTGGCGTTCCCCTTTAAATAGTGACAATGACAGCACGTTTGTCCTTACTTGATGAGCTCCACCGTTTCAGCATACATGGGGAAGGGAGACTTTGCCTCTTGAGCGCTCTTCTCCAGAGCATTGCCACATTCAATGAAAGACACCACAGCGTCCAGGTAGTAAACAGCCTTCTCAAAGCGGTCCAACTGTAAAGAGAGAGAACAGGGACACGGCGACAATGAAATCACTGATGGCGGAGCATCCCGAGTTAGTGAGCGAGTACCAGTTTAATATTGCACTTCTTTCTGAAACTGTCACAGCAGTGCCCACCTAAATGCTGCTCACATGACTGTTAATTTGCCATGGTTGTAAAACTCACATGGTTTGGTGTGGAATACAATAAACTCTTTTAATAACAGCAGCAAGAACTGCATTGGCCTTTAAATGGAATGTATAACCTCATAGATGTGGACTAGTGAACCGTAGTGTGGGTTAAACAATTGTATTACACGTACATTAAAGATAAAATGAAAGTGTATCCATAGTGTAAAATATTATTGCTTAGTTCTCATCAATAGGTTTTGTGTTTATTTGTATCATGTTTGCTTGTCTCACTTAATGTCAGAGTTATTTTCTCTTCAGACGGAGTATTTAAATTACAAAAACCTGTAAAATGCAAAATAAACGTAACATTTTCAAGAATTTTGAGTGGAAATAGCATGCAGCCATGTCAGGTATCTCAGGGAAGTCACTGATACCAGCCCGCCGCTTAAACATACTGCTCAATAACTGAGAGAGCACAGAGAAAGAAGGACTTTTAAGACTTTGTGTCCGAGGTTAATCTCCCAGTAAATACAATAAATGTTATACAATCATATAAACGCGAGCAATAAAAAGGGAGAATTTAACTGCGTTGCTAAACCAAGCATTAATCTCCATGTTGTTTTACATTAAAAGGTCGAGACCTCGTTGAACAACCTCTCCTCTCACTGCTTTGCATGCAGCAGCTGACTCTGCAGCATCTCCATTACACATGTAAATAGGCATTAAGCTCACGCTCTCACCAGTGCATCTGCATTGTGTTTCAGTTTCTTGGCCTCTTGTAAGTAGTGATCTGCCGAATGGACCCTGAAACAACATTATTAACAGGTCAAACTCATTTAAGTACTTCCCTGAAACAGCATACATCTCCACTAAGCACAGATATACAGTACATAAAATCAAACCATGAAACAGACAATAAAACTAAGAGGCAAGACGATGTTATTTCTTTACCTCAGCATGAAAAAGGACACAGCCTGCCAACAGAGAGCCTTTGAAAATGGAAATTTACATCATCTCTCCTGCATGCAGGCAAATCTATGCACGACCTCCCGAAACCTCCTGCAGCTTTATGCATCAAAGGCAATCCTAGATCCCCACAGCAGTTCTCTCTGCCCACTCTGCTGAGGGGTTATCTGCAGTGGAAAGAGCTCCTCTTACCTGTCCTCAAACACCAGCTTGGATCTCTGAGACTTGGAGCCGTCCGTGGTGAGCGGCGGCACAGCCAGCTGGTTATCGCAGCCCTTTGAGGATTTCTCCTGCGGAGACAGCGAGCGAGAGGGAATAAAGTTTCAGGAGAAAGAAAGAAAAAAAAAAAGGGGGGGAGGGGGGGGGGGCACCTGGTGTTTGAAGTGGAATATAAGAGATTGCGGGTGCCTAAAGAAACGTTTGGCGCTCTATGGATATTGGGCATATACAATATATAGACCTTTATCGCGGCTATGTTCTCGACCACTACCCTTTTCCAACGTGTTTCGTTATTTAAGTTCCTCGGGTCGGAAACATTGGTCGGCAAACTTGATGAAAGACCGCACTTGCACTTCCCAGTACCCACAATGCCGGGTGTTCACGTGACAGCAAACGGCGGATGGGGGGGGGGGGGGGGAATACGGTTACTCGCGCTCACCTTGCCGTCGCGTGTGCTGCGTCCCTTGTCCTCTCCTTTTCTGTGCTTGGAGGTGGAGTTGCCCTTGGTGCTGTGGCTTCCCTCTTTCCCACTTCCTGTCCCGCTGGACAAAGAGGTGGAGGACTGGCTGACCGTCCTCTTTCGACTCGGATGCTCCGCCTTGGGCGTCCGCTGAAGACCCGATATGGAAGGAGAGGGGGCGGGCTCCTCTTTCTTTTCCATGGACCTCTTAGACCTGGTGGGACATGAATGGTCATTGTAACACGTGTATCATGTTATTTAAAAACGGAGCAGCCGTGTTGCAGTACCGTACTCCACATCACAGAATATTAACACTCAAAAAATTACATATTAACATTCCAGATCAACATTGAAATCATAGCCGAGAGGTCATGATCATGAAGGTTGATAGGTGTGGCTTAAAGTAATAAACAAGTCATTTCACTGAGCTTTTTATAACGAGAGTTCAATTTTGTGAATTGTAAGAATAGTGAAAAAGAAAGCAAGAAATGAAGTACTGCTGTCACACCAAGTGTGAAAGGAAGAATACTCACTCTTTACTGCTGTTTTTATGATGAGATAAGGACTTCTCCTCTAGCTTGCAGCGCTTGCTCTCTGGCTTTGTGCCATCTTCATCGTTCTAAAAGACAAAGGTCGCAGGAAATTAGAAGACGCATTAAAGGATTTACTGGTGTGTGTGTGTGTGTGCGTACATGCCTCTGGAGGATTTGATGACAAAGAAATTTGCAATTTCGCACATGAACTCATATGAAGTGCAGTACAACCTTCTGCCAATCCCACATAAACACATCACTTACAGATTGTACGTCTTTCTTTGGTAGTTTCACAGCTATGATGACATAATTCTCTTACAAAAGTAATAATGAAAAAGAGATCTGAATAAAAATCTCTTAATCTATATGTTGTTTAGTGAAAATAAAATCTTCCATTCAACTATTCTTTTAGGCCGTTTCCAGACCTGCTGTGCGTTTGATTTGTTCCGGTTCACGGAGTAATTTGATACAATTGTTGCATTTGCGCCTCAATTCGCTTTTGTACATTCAAAAGCGGTCCAAAAGTAGTAAACCATGCCACGCAAGTTGTTCTCTCATTGGTCAGAAATGTAACCGGGAAAGATTTACCTCAAAATGCTTCCTTGCATCACGTTAACATGATTAAATGATCTCAATAATACAATCTGCGCCCGCTTCTTTTTGCCCTGCAACCGAGTGCGCCTGTTGCATCCACATAGGCACAAACGAACCAGAACCTCGGGGTGAAACGTTCCAGGTTTAGAACCAACTGGTCCAGATCTAAAGGTTCCAGGTTTAAGATCAATGAAACCAGCAGAGAGTACAGAGGGAATTTGCTCCATCCAGCCTCATACCTTGTGTTTCCTCTTGGCCTTACTAGAGCTCTTCTCAGAGCTCTGTTTGCTGAAGTCTTTGTTGTCCCGGTCTAGAGAGTCGTCCCTCTCCACTTTTATCTCTGCAGGCTCCTTGTAGGGCCGCCCTGGGATCCTCGACAGCAAGCTGAGATCTATAGGAAATGGTGAAGGAAAAGGAAGGGAAGGCTTTAATTCGGTCCAAAGAAAAGAAAAGCTTCAGTGAGTGTGCACTCCAGCCGGAAAAGTGTAAAACAAGAGAGACTAACCTATCTTCACTAGTAAAACCTGGTGCTGAGGCTGCCTTGTAGGGTAGCGCTCCTCAGGGTCACTGAGAGGAGACAACAGCTCTTTTTCTTCCATTGGAGAAAACACACACACGGGGGTCCTGATGCTCTCGGTGTACTTGGGCGTCTGCGACGAGGACGGGATGCTGTCGTTCCCCTCAGAGTCCGACGACGACGAGTCCGTGTCGACAAACTCCCGGGACTTCTGGGAGGTCTTGGTGGGCGCCTTGGCCTTACGCTTGTCTGCGGTAGTGACAGCGGCCGCAGTGGGCCTCGGGGAAGATTTAGGTTCCTTTTTGATGCTTGGTTTGCGGGAACCCTTAGTAGCAGCTTTAGGCCGATGCGGAGGTATCTCTGGAGCCGGCTCACTCTCCACCCTCAGGCCTCCCTTGGGTTCCTCCACCACTGGGGGCTTTTCAGACTTTTTAGGCTGTTTTTTACCCACGCTCCTTCGCGGATTTGTGCCACCCTCGCTCTGGGCGGGGGATTTTTGCCGGCCACGGCCACCCTCCGCGCCCTTTTGCGCCGCCCGTAGGTCCCTGCTCGGGGTGGGTGCCGCCGAGTCTTTTGAACCCCCTCCCTGGCTACTATAGCCGCGTCCTGAGCCATTATCCCTGCCCTCTTTCTTGCACTTGGTCGGAACATTGTCCACTGGAGAGGCCGGAGAGAACTGCTTGGCCTTCTTGAACCAGTTGTCCAGCTGCCACTTGTTGGCCATGGGCTGTTCAGGCTGAGGCAGGAGATCACACAGATGTAAGACTTTGTGTTAGTGAGTGAAAAATACTGTCTGTATATGTATATACATACACATATATACACACATACACATATATACACACACACATATATACACACACACATATATACACACACACATATATACACACACACACATATATACACACACACACGTAACTATTACAACCTAAATGAAGGGTGGACAGAGAGAGGAACAGTTCCATTGAAAATGATGCCTGAGGACCAAATCATTTTTGTACAAAGTCGCTGGTCAGTCATTACCTCAGGAGAGGCGGGCCGCGGGTGCTCATTGGCTTCACTGTCCGTCGTGCTGCTTTCACTCTCGCTGTCGGAGCCCGAGCTGCTCTCCGAGCCGCTGTGGCTGCTCGAATCGTCCCTGGATTGCTCCGCTCCTTCACTGTTATTGCTGTCGTCACAGAAAGAGTGCAATTACGGCATTATAGTGTGTGCAAAAGGTGTGCAGTACACTTTCATGTTGTACACACTGATGTGTGCAAAGGTTGATGATATCCCCCCCGCAAACATACGCGTGTATTGTGGTTTACCTTGCTGAAGTGTTCCGTGAGGCGTTCTTGGCAGAGTCCTGTTCTCCATCACTGTCCTCACTGCTGCTGAGCTTCAGGTCATCTTCTAGTAGTACACTGAGATGGAGGAATGACACTGAATTAAATCTTTGTATGCAAGTACAGCAGCGTAAACGGTGGCTCCATCTACACAACTTACTGAGGTCATCTATGCACGTCTGGTTTCTTACCTCGTCATAACTATTTGTTTTTAAATAAGCTAAAAACTTGGGCTTACAATGAGAAAGGAGGAAACGATGAAGCACTTACGTGGGCTGGTCATCGCAAGCTTTGGACTGGTGGCTGCTGGAGCTCTTGGACGAACTACCTCGCTCTAAAAAACACACAAAACTCATGAGCAACAAATATATCAAATATATATACACACCTACATTTATTTTATATTGGGTTTGAATCAGAAATGAGTGAGATACTCACTGTGCCCACTTGGGAAAGGGTGAGAGTCCTGAGGTGAAAAAAAGACGACATTCTGAATTATTATCAATGAATAAATAAAAACAAATCAATTTTAAAAGGGAACTCCTTGAGCTCATGTTTATTAGCCCGTAGCAGGTGCAAACCACTTTCATTATTGATTATTAATCGATCAAATACCAATCGCTAGTCCCATCACTTTATAGTTCAAATTAGACGGCCACAAAAACGTTTCTCTGCATTTGTACTTTGTACGGTCTGTTGGCACCAAACAAGATGCATAACAACACATGACATCATTCGAGTCAAACAGTAAACACAGGCACTGGTGCAACGCTGACCTTGGTGGGGAATGGAAACTTTGAGGGCTCTGTTTTGCAGGGGGTGTGGATGGCCGTCAGCGGAGGGGGCCACGACTGAGTCATTTCCTGAAAGAAAGAAAGAATAAAACACACACGGGTAAGGTGCGAGTAATGTGAAGTGCTCTTTCACTGACTCGAGCAATAGTTTTTTTCTCTGACTACTTATGATGGACTGTTGGCCTGACAGGGGATTATTTTAACAATTACCTTCAGAATCTCATCGACACAGTTGGCGTCACCAGATCCCTAAAGACAGAAAGAGCATGTTTAACACGTTTTCAACATGACGGTCAGTGCTGCAGGTGGGAGGAAGCTTCCATTGGGAGTAGCACGAGTCATTTTATTAGACCTAGAGTTCAATCAGACCAAGAGTAACATGCTGCGAGGTAATCTCTTCCAGTTATTACATCATTACGAATACAAGCTCCAAACACAAACCCTGCGCTGCCATTCTACGTAAGTATATTCTATATACACTGTCTGCTGCTATAGCTTTATACCTTAACATTAACATATAGTTTATGGAAAGCCTGAAGACCAGCCTCACCTCTACAGGCTGCGAGGGCATCTTGAGTTTGGAAAGTGAGGCCTTGCTGTTGGACTTCATCTCTCCCATGGTGCTGCTGTGCGACTGTCCGCTGTAGCTTTCCGCTTGCGAGCTCTTGGGTTCTGCTGTTTCCTGGCCGTCCATAGGCCGCACATACGCTGTGGGCTTCTGCAGCATGGAGCCGGGCTTGGACATGAGAGAGGGGGGAAAGGCCTGACTCGAGTGCTGTCCGGTGGGGAAGGCGGTGTGAACCCGTGAGGGAGAGTCCCAGTTGGCCTCTCGGTCTCGCGGGGACTTGGAGCGGTAGCGCTCTTTGCTGTGGTGCTGCTCGGCGGACAAGGAGCCCCGCAAGTGGCTGTTGCTGCCGGAGGAACTCAGCGAGCCCTTGGCCGGACTCGACGTGTGCGACTTGGAGTGCTCCGACCCCCCGCCGTGTTTACTCGACTTCTTCTCCCGCGCCTCCCCTCCGTGTCTTTGGCTGCCGCTGCTGCTGCCGCCGCTACTGCCGCTGCTCCTCTGGCTACCGTGGCCGCCCTGGAGTCCCGAGCGCTTCTGGGACTGGGACGAAGATCCGCCTGCCGCGGGGCCAACGGGGGTCCACTTGCTGCTCTGGCTGCTGCCACCGCTACCGACGCCGCGCTGGTCCCCGCCGAACAAAGGTGGGCCCGATTTCTCCTCGGAGGAAGACGAGCTGTTAGATGGTTTACCGCCAATCTTAGGAAGTGTGTCACCAATCGGCTCTTTCATCTCGTCGTAATTGCCCAGCATGCTCTGAATACGGCTTGACAGTTTATCTTCCTTGCTGGACTGAAGAGAGAAGCAGAGAAAGGGGGGGAGGGAGAGGTGGGGAAGGAGGGGAACGGTGTGACGATGAAGAAAGAAAAAAAGCGAGAAAAAGAGGAGAAAAAAAATGGATTGAGAGGAAAATAAGTGAGAGAGAAACGAACGGAGGGAAAGCAGAGAGGAGAGAAGAGGGGCAGAGAAAACAGTCATTATGGGCACAAGTTCAACACTTGGGTTAATTACTTTCCATCAGAATGGAGAGAAAATGTATTTCTCCAACAAAGAAAAACTTAAATTCATGAAAAGATGAAAAAAATGAGCATAATTCAAATAACAAAAAGAATGAAACTAATAATATCCTGAACCATGTGTCTTCACTTTTACATTTAAAACATTGAGAAAGTAATCAATCGAACATTAGAGATCCGCCAATCGTTGAGTTAGCTCATTCAAAATGGGCCCCCGATCAGTCCACACCCATCTGCTCACACAGATAAGTCCGCCCATTGCTCCAACACACAGAGGTTAATCAATCACACTGAAGCCACAGGTTCCAGCCGACCTGCCGGGCAATCAGCCCGTGACGGTCTGTGCAAAATATCCAGTTTCACACGAAGTGTTAGACCTCTACTTTGTTTGACAAGAGTCACACACGCGGGGTGAGGAAACAAGCCGTTATCTGTAGCAGGAAATGTTAACGAGTGTGGTCACAACATGCACACCGCCGCTGCCTCCTGCTAGCACAGCACAGCACGGCTCACACGTGTGGAGCGTCGCCCAGTCTTCTTCTGGGATGTTTCGTTTTACTTTGTGGTTCCAACATAAATGCTGTGTTTTATTAGGATTGTATTAAAAACAGCCAGTGGAAGAGAAATACTTCTGCTTCTTTGTAAATACAAGTAGTTCACAAGGGTAATATACTCTGGCTTATCACACACACTGGCACATATGGTGGCCGATGACGCTAAAAACAATGAAGTGTAAATAGAAATTAGAAACACCCGAGTCATTACACAGTTGGTTCATTGTTACTACAGATTGTATTGTACAGCCTTTTTCGTCTGCAGAAACGCTCTCACAAACCTTTTTAGGAACTTTACCTCCATGTTGACCTTTTCGCCTGCAAAAACGACAAACTACAGCATCAGTGTTTTATCTGTTACCCGTTTCTTTTTGCCTAATCTTTGTGGTTAAAATGCAGCAAACAGGAATGCGATTATTGGATTTTAGATTTAGTAAGTTGTCTTTTCTTTTAGTTTCCTTTAACACAATGGAAAAGGCCAACATAATCAAATTGAAGAATGACAATATGCATTTATATACAGTGTTTATGTACTGTAAATATACCAATAATAATATGATACTTTAGTGCTCATCATTCTGTGCAGCCGAGTTAAAAGTGTGCGAGCTCAGCGCCATAAAAGCGTTACTGCTTTGCTGCTCTACATCTGGGAGGCCGCAGCTGCGTGCACACATGGCCTTTAATGCTGAACACAGTAAACTTCCACTTAGTGGAGCATGACGGAGAGGGTTTGGGGGGGGGGGGGGGGGGCAAACTGAAGCTTACATAAGACATAAGCAGGAGACAAGAAGTACAAAGTGTAGAAAAGCCAGTGACTGAAACAGGTTGGCTTTTTCCGCATTGTTCTGTACTATTGTTTCTGAAGACAGAAAAACAAAACCGTGCACAATAACACCTTTTGCTGCTGAATTCCTTTTCTTCTCTAGTGCAAAAGGTCAAGGACCTTCTACCTTTCACTTTGTTGTGGTCCAAAACACACAGGTCGGCACTCATCGCTCACCTCTGGTCGCCTTTCTATTCCCAACCTGTCGGGACGCATTCCATCTCTGCCGCAATGACGGCTAACTCTGAGCTGAAGGAGAGGCGCCACTCACCTCGGCTCAAATCTGGTTAGTGGCGAAGATTAGACCAGTTCAGAGAACTCAAATCCTCTCTACAAATTATACTGGCCGAGCAGGAGCAGGGAGCTGGCTGCCCTACATCTATATGTATCTGTGAGCACAAGGGGGGAAGACATGGGAGGAAAGGGGGCTGGCATGATCTTGTGTTTACCTTCTTCAGCTGCACTACAAAACAGCTAACCAAAGACAGGTGTGGACAATTCAACCGGCTCTTTCGTATCTTGTGCAGAGTTAGTCGATAGCTGATTATCTGAAAGCTAACCATTATTTAAGCCAAAAGCTTACCGTTTTTAACCTAGCCACATACTACGCTGCACACAGATCAGCCAATTTCAGCTTGAAATTTGTGCAAAATCATCTCGACTACAAAGCCAACAGAGCGTGTTCAGATATGAAGTGCTGCAAGATCCTGAAGATGATTGTGAAAAAGAACTAAATGTGTTCACGTCTTCATCAAACAGGATTTTCTTAAAACAACTCTGAGAGAAAAACTGAATCAACTAAGTTTTTTTTTTTCCCCCAGACTGAAGCAATGTAGGAAGTCAAACAAATGTTACATAAAGTGCGCGCACACGCACGCAGACACACACACGTTGTGTACAAAGACACCAGAAGAAAGAGGGTTTACACCTTTGCCACAGAAGCTGTAAAGCGAAACATTCCTCTCAGCTGTTTAGCTAAGCCAGCAAAAAAAAAAAAATATATATATATATATATCAAAAAAGGTGTAGGTATGACGGTTCAAATAATATATGATGACAAAACGTGAATGTTCCTCTAAGTTTGTGTGGTTGTCGCTTCCTGTCACCGTTACAAAACTCCTCTGAATGTGAAAGCTGAAGGGAGAGGTAAACAAACTTACCACTTTGTAGGGTTCAGGGAAGAGAGGTGAATTTGCTGGAAAGGCCTCTCCTCCTCCTCCCTGCTGGATTTCTTGATTTCTCCTTTCTCTTTCTTTCATTCGGAGCACATTCCGGTCCTCACGGTTCATGTTGCTAATAACGCAAACAGAACAACAACAACAACAAGTCAACATAAGCACACGCCGTGGAGGGGACTGTAAACAGACTCCTTATCTTGTGTTTGGTTGTTTTTTTTTTTGTTGTTTTTTTTACAAGGGGCGGCTTTAAAACGAAGCAGCATCGTGAAAGTGAGTCGTTGGTGAAAGAAACACCTGGCGGGTCGGTGAGAATTTCCCTAAAAGTTACTCCTGAACAGTGAGGCAACATAACTGAACAACGTGAGCTCTGCAGTTCTCTCTTCTGCTATGAGTTCTTGGTTTCGGAAATGAATACCAACTAGTTCAAGTTTCCAACTGTTCACCACAAATCACAGTCAGAACGGGCCATCGACTGCCCTCTACTTTGAGTCACATTATTGGTAAACCGCAAATAGGACGTTCATCATCAGCGTTACCCCCACAAAGATCATGACCTGTCTCTAATAGGCTTAAGCTGGTCTAGACAATGTGCACAAGTCTACTTCTACTGACAATAATCTGCTCGTACAGATGGTGGATGTAAATGTGAAACTACTAACGGCCATCTTCAACATCTTCATTGAGAAGTTTGTTGACTACAATTTGAATGGTTGTTCTCTCAGTTCATGCGTTTTGGAGTAGACTGAAAAAGCGTCATTCACTCGACATGAAAAGAATGCAAATCTTTTCAGGAATAGTATAACCTGTAATTAGGATTAAATAACCTGCTGCTATTAAACTTTATCTTGAAGCCATCGACCTCGCCCTCACTGTCCCTCTGAGCGTAATGTGCGTCGTGCAGACATAACATTGTAGACCTTGTAACTTCGTGAACGTATGGATAAACACCAGAGAGACAAAACGACACCAAAAGCATGAACATGGAATAAAAACGTGTACACTACCAGAGGATGAAACACAAGGTTGTTCATGTCTTTTTTAAACAAGTTGTAAAACTTCTGCTGGCCATTTGGACGGAACAAGTATGTGTGATTTTTTTTTTTTTTTTTTTTTTTAAAAAGGAGCAACTTGTGTCTATAACAGAAAGCAAATACGGATCTTTTTAAAACCTGAAACGAGCAAACGATCAGCTAGGCGTGTCGGATCTCGGTTTAAGTAGACAGCTTCGGGCTCTTCCAACGACAACAATGGTTTTAACACGGTTGAGAGAGTGTGATTATACAGACACCACCCTGCCTCCTCCTAAACTATAAACACAACGCACAGGGGTGTTATCAATCTTTACCATGGGCATGGATGAAAAGAGGCCGCTAGGAAACTTATAGTAAAACACTCCACACGGGGAAATCAATCAAAACGTGAGAATGCAGTCAAACGAGGCTTCAGTTTCCTGGAAGAACTCACACCGCTCTCACATGAAAACCGAACGCTGAGTCATCACTCCTCACAGGAAACTTGATTTTCAGAGCAGAGCTAGGTAGGCTATGCTAACCCAGAGCTCAGGAGGCGACCGTGAACTGTTGGAGACACAACATTCACACCGGTGTTATCAGCAGACGTGTCCAGAAGAGAAGGGGAACATTGTGAGTCCCACTGTTGCGTCTCTAACCTCACAGCACAGCTGAGAACCAGATTCAGACTGCACATCGTCTCAAACTAAACAAGGTCAAGTTAAATTGCAACAACAGATCTCATTGAGTGTCAATTCACTCCGGCCACATCCTAGTGTGTTCTGCTTGATGTTGGTTATTTGGCCTCCCCCAGTTGACAAGTACCAACATATATAATAGAACCTACTTTCATGCTATAAATGTAGTCTGTGGTTTGAGGAAAAAGCCAGTTTCATGCACTCGAAATAACAGTTTCTACGTCTCCACCGCTTACAAATAATCAAAGACGTTTGATCCGTAGTCGCACAATGTTGCCACGTTTTTTCACATTCTTTTTTTTGCCATTCGGGAACTTGGTGTATTTAACACAAACATAAGAAATAGATGATATGTTAAATGGTCCTGAGTCCTTTTGAAACAGTGCTACGGTCCATTCTGCCAGCAAACTGTTTGTGCCTTTGCAACATCAGAATAACTTAATTGACAAGGAAGGGCTAAACATATCATCCATTTCCTACGTGGTTTTTCAAAGATCGCTCCAGTCCTCTTTATGGAGTCAAAAAAAAAAAAAGAAAAAAAAAAAAGGTTTTTATTAAGTGCCCGAACGGCAAAAGAAAAAGAAAGTGAAAAACTTGGCAACATGATGCGACAGTGTGACTATGGATCAAGCATCTGAACACAACCTGTTTTTAAGTTGGCCTCCGACCAGCCTAGAAACTCAAACTATGCAATATGGAGAAGTTCAACGATGCAATGCCTTTAGATTTCCTTTCCCGGTTAAGGGGGGCCTGATTGAGAATATGGCTCAGTTCTATCTGGGGGCGTCAACAAAGACCGTGAAGTGTACAAATGAGAGGTGACTCAATAATAGTGGTGTAACCAATGGACCACTGTCGATCTGTGACTGGCACAGATCTCCCCTTAATTACACAGTTTAACATTAACAATCGCAGTGTGAAGTTAAGTTTTACAGATCGTTATCCGCCAACATTCAGTAAAACATGCGATCAGGACATCTGCTTTTATGATTTTCTAGTCGCCTTGAAAATGAGAATTGGGTGAAGGTAAATTATAACGTTATCATGACCTACACTATAAACTACTACGACAAAGTAAAAGGATAACATTTAGAACTTTGGATGGTTTACACGGACCTCAGTGTGGTTGAAATTAATTTTTGGGATGGTGGCTAAAAAATAAAATAGTCTGGAGCCTTGTAGACCAGCTCATCAAACAACGGGATCTGTATCTGCCAATATGGAGCATCAACGATCGGCAATTGGTATCGGCGGTGAAAATACTCGATCGGGGATCTCTAGAAGTTATACTTTCTCACTTTTGTGCTGATCTGAGACCTGATCCACGAGCCAAACCGTGAGTTTTATGATGCGTTGCACCGCTAGTCAACAACGACAAACTCAGCTGCCATCTAACCTGAGGCCTTCTGGGATAAGACCCGGTTTCAGAAACACCCAGGACAAGCTATTAAATATATATTTGACTTGTTTCAACAGCAAACCATAAGAGGCTCAAATCATAAATGAGCCTCGGCTTGAATTGTTCGGCAAACAAGCCCAACAGAGTTGATCAGTTGCCAACATAGTAAGGTAGGCAATGTAGATTGAGGACTCCTTACACAACATGAGTTGAAATGGCATGCATTAATATCAAAAGAGTGGCGGCCATGTGTGCTTAATGTAATCATTCAGTGTGCCAGACTGAAAAAGGTCAAAGTCTGAGTTAAAAAGGCAGTTCACTTTGTACCTAAATTATCAGCTCGTCGGTTTCTTTCTAAAGGCCAGGACCCATCAATGAAAAAGAAAAAGGGAAGAACTGATGGTCATCTGAGCACCATGAACACAGGACTGGGATTCTGGGAGAACTAAAAACAGTATAGCAGGACTTGTACAACGTAGTGAAAAGTTTGTGCTTTATTCTTTCCACCCACCAAGAGAAATAAGTGAAGCAGCCAACTAGCCATGCATTTCTTACCCTGACTGAGAGGCCATGGCCCCAACCACTGAAACATTGGAAGAAGGGAGGGAGGAGGATTCAAAAAGGATCTCCCAAGGATTCAGAAGTGTTCTCGTTATGACTTGTCAGCCTAAATCTCTACGCCTAACCTCCTCCCGTGAAGACAACCTGGCCCTGTTTCTTCCTGAATACATCTGTAGCTGGAAGAGTGTAAACTACAGTTTTCTTTACTCTACTCGGAGGTACAATGTATTTCCTTTGGAGTGGTGACAAATCTGACTTAGAAGAGGGGAGGTGACTGCTCGTTCTCGGGAGATACCACGTCGGCAAACGGCGGAGGAGGAGGTAGTCCCACGCTAGGTGAAGCCTAAAGGGGAGCTGCGGCTTTTGTATTTGTCTGTGTAGTGTTTTGATGTGAAGGCATGTGTGGCGAACAAGAGAGGTGAAAAGAGGCTGGGGGGGTGGGTAAGTGTGTAAAGGTTTTAGAGTGAACGTGAGACAGTCTCCTGTCCACTAGAGAGTGAGACAGTCCTGGTGGTTCCTTCTTGTCATCTTTTAATCCCAGTAAATTGAGCATATGAGTTACGCAAAGCATAGTGATGAGACTGCTGAAACATAGTAATACATCTATGACTGGTGTGACTAATTACACCTTTTAATTTAACATCAAAGAAGAGAGACTGCAAGAACAGAGAGGGGGAAGACGTCCAACAGCAGTTTAATATACGATCAAACTCAAGATTAAGAGCAGTAAAACCAAAGGAGATAAAATAGAATAAAGGATTAACACTAAAGATATAAATGAGCTTGGTCTAAGACAGACTTAGAGCCATAACTATTTACTAAAACAGCCTCACAGGAAGAAGTTTTTCAGGGAGAAAGACTTTATTAAAGGGAGCAGCGAGAAGGGAACAAAACCTCACCTCTCTCCGAGAATGGAACGATCCACCTCGTCCCATAAAAGGACATGTTATTTTACACCACAGGGCCTCTCCTCCGTGTGATGTCACTGTCCTCAGTAAAGGCCCAGCCAATGAGGGCCCGTCTTTCCATCAACAACCTCCCTCCCTCCCCCACTACACCGAGCACAGGGCAAAGCACCCTTGCAGCCTCTTAAAGAGACAGTGCACAGTTTCCGGCGTGCAGGTTGTAACGAACGGGAGACATTTTCAATGACGATGACATGCTGACAAATGAGTTATCATCACATGTCTCAGAGATTTTTTATTATTATTAAAACTAGTACACAAACCGGCAACATCATGTCATTTCTGGAGTCTCTGCAGCTTTCACTGTTATGTTTAGGGTTGTTGTTAAGATTTGATCACTTCTAAAGCCTTCCAGTGTTCTACTTCCAAACAGACACAAACACAGACTGCGGCAGACATCATGGATGTGTAGGAGTTTTGTTTTTACTGTTCGCTTGGGAGGACCCGTTCGGCACATGTGCAGTAGATCACTGAAAACTTCTGGCGCAGACATATTCGCACAGCGGCAACAAATTGCCAATACGTGGACTTCCACACAGAGCCTATACATACAGCCATTAATGAACATGGACCCGAGCGTATGCTCACGGTATACCTTTGGCTTAAGGCACGTTTAGGTCTGACTCGGTGGTATATTATGGAGCTGGTACACAGATCCAGATGCCTTGGCAGGAACCCTTCAGCTCCGTCCAAAAGTTCAGATTTCTAGTTCAACATCTTTTTAAACTTCGCCTGAAACATTGCTATAATATTTACTTAATATTATAGGTTTGTGGTTTTTAAAATGTACCGAAAAATTGTAAAAGGATAATTCACTCCTTATGTGAAATATCTATTGCAGGTCCATCAGTCCTGGAAGAAGGGCTCCCTCCTCTGCTGCCCAGTTTTCTCCTGTTGAAGGTTTTTACTTGACCAAATAAGTGTCGTCTATTGTACAATGTTTGTAAAGCCGTCCGGGCAAATTATGTAATGTTGGGACATTCAAATGACTCGAGTACACATGACCACATTTTTAGTATTACAAAAAAAAAAAAAAAAAAAAATTGCCCAGGACCCTACCACCTTTTAACCTCTTCTGAAAACTGTTTTTATAGTCAATTTAAGTTCAACAAGGTCCAGTTCGAGAGAATCTCCTCATACAAAAGGTCCAGAACATCACAATAATGTCTGACTTGCGCTACGACTTAGTCCCATATATATTGATAAACGACTCCAATGATGAATAAATGTTCTTGTTCATTTCAAGTAAAATAAGGGAGAACAAATTACAAAACAGAAAGCTCATGAAAAATGTGACTCTTAAAATAAAGTAGTATATTTAACTGAATTGTCCTGCAGCTTTAAATTCAGTTAATTCAGGTGTGAAGTGATGTCAAGCAAGACAACCATGATATTATATTCTTCTCATCTTCTAAAAAGAGAGATATGTGTGCAGGGACTTTATCTGTGGTTATTAAACCATTTGTTTCAGCTCCATTCTCCTCTGTTTGAACATCATTGTTAGGGTTCTGATCATATTGGGCTCTTAGGATGTTTTTTGTTATGTGCCTTCATTTCGGATGCGAGTGGGTTCATTTGCTCAAAAGATTTGTGCTTTGTCTCGTAGTGGAGCTTCACATTGCTGCTCTTAATAATCGCCACTGAAGAATGAACATTCTGTCCATTCTTGGTTAAAAGCTCCGGTTAAGCCGTCCACATTCCTCTTTTTGGACATCATGTGAAATAACTTCTCAGACTCTCGTACATCTCCTGTTGAGTCTCTCTACCCGTCTGTCCCGTGTGTGTAAAATCTCACTGGAGTTAAGATGCTTATCAGAATACACGTATTTGATTGGCTGAGGAGCATCACTTTGAAATGATTTACAACGCATGTAATTGGTCGGTGTGTTTCCTGGACCGCTGAACGAGTGAAGTAAAGGCATGGCCCCCTGGCCTATATGTTATTTCTTCTCATCATAAGGTTTTCCTCTTAATATATTCTAGTTTTGTCTCCCTTCTACTTGCTTTGAATTATGAAATGTTATTTATTTTGTTAATTAAGGGATTGCGCTGCAATAATGCACTTAAACAAGGATTATTTAAGTTTCCCCAAGACATCCGTTTGTTTCAAAGAATCCACTTTGGGGAACACACATAATGACTTTTTTTGGATAATCTCATAATCTCTTTGATGTGCTATTTAATCATGGTGTCACTTAAGGGATTATGCAAAAAATGAGAGAGAGAGAAAAACGATCCTGAAAAACAAAGTCCGGACATGAAATGATGAAATTCTAATTTGGGGAACTCCCTTTGACTCATTTTACGATCCCGTTATTGCGACATTCTAAAATGCGTAGCTCGTCTGTAGACAATGACGTCGACGGAAACCTTGCGATTGCACAGGACTCCATGTCATTATGATCAGGGCACGTGTTTTGGAAATACTGAAGAGTTTTTTGAATCAATTAAAGTAAATACTATCCAATCAAAAACGCATTTTAAATCTCTTTCTCAACCCCCCCCCCCCCTTAAAACAGCTCCCTGCCTTCATTCAAATGGTGTGTCCAAAGAGTATTGTATAATGCATCAACAACAGGTTGTCAGTAGTGTGTGCTGTGGTGGTCCTGTGGTGCTTTTCAAGCAAACCTGCTGACAGCGAGCATTCCAGAGGGAGTGTTCCCGTTCAAATGCTGCAAAGCCGCCTCATATAAGCAGTTGTTTGGGGACCCGGGACCTCAAGACCACAAGCCACTAGGACAGGGTCTCGATCAGAAATGCCCCCAAAAAACGTAATATCTGAAAATGCAGCAACTTTAAATCCCTCTTATGAAATCAAATGACTTTCCTTAGGGAACACCAGCAGCTATATAAAGACATTTTGACACAACAGTGGGAATTAATTAGCCTTATTTTCTGTCTACCTCTTACGTGAAAGCATTTAACAGACGATGTCGACATTAGGATTAAGTCTTAGTATTCAGATTTCTTTAGTTCCTGCTTCAGTAGAAAACCCTTCAATTTTTCTATTTGGCTTCAGATTAGCTTTAATTAACATATCAAAACAAGACTCACAGTGTTGATTGGCATGTTCTCTCAACAACTGCTTACATCCTTTTCATTCAGGCAGGTTTGAAGCATTTGAACCGACTCGCTTGCCTCTTTCTCAGCAGGCGTGCGTTATCTGAATCAGAGGGAGCTGGGTAGCATTTACCAATAAGAGCCCGGTGCTGGGACTGCTCTGCATTTCAAAAAAGAATTAATAATGGATGAATTTAATAGCATTTTTATATTTAACATCCAGCAAAGCTCTTAACTGAGGACTATTATTAACAACGAGCACAACACACTCTGATGATGAGATCCAAATAAAATGCACAATATGCCTCGAGGCCGGTGACGTCTCCTCCATGCCAAGATCATCAAATCAAACCGAGGAGAAGAAATAAAAGTATTTACTAGCTTCCGTGCAATGGGATATTACACTGGGTTTATTTCCCATCACTGAATAGTTCCTGTCTTGCCCCGTGACCCATCAAAACAAAGTAATAATCCGTGGTTGAGTAAAAGGCATACGTAGCTAAACTGTAGAAAGTTCATATGGATTTTGAAATGAAAAATAAAGTCAGACAAGCACAGTAAGAAACTGCTGCCACTTGCAGTTGTGTCACAGATAGCACAACGCTCTTTCTGCCACATTATTTGTGACACACACACACACACACACACACACACACACACACACACACACACACACACACACACACACACACACACACACACACACACACACACACACACACACACACACACACACACACACACACACACACACACACACACACACAATCTCGGGAACACGTTTTAAAAACGAACCTGCGTCACTCAAGCTCTTCAATGTTCACACCAAGATAGTCAAAAGAGGCTTTTACGTTTTCGCATGACCCTCTTCACCCACACCAGAACTACGGTAAGAATATTTTACCAACCACTCCCTTGGCTTTGAATCAATGTTGATTCAAACATACCGTGATGCAAACACAGCTTCAACTCGGCATGTTCCAGCACGTCCGGTACACTTCTGATTAAATGAGGCGTCATAATAGATGAATCATTCTAAAATTGTTAAAATGTCCTGTTAAAGTTCTTAAAAATCATCCAGATTTGATGAGTACAAGTAGCCAAGCCTTACAAGCAGAATTCCTATTAAAACAGAGTGATTAGGGATGTCAGCGATTACTTAAATGAGATTAAATCGCTTACGCATTTGTGCGATCTACGATAGCTCTAATAAAGCCTTTAAGCACAACATTATGACCATGGTTTGAATTTTGTATGGCAACTTCTTTGATTATACTGCAAAAAAGTAGTATAAAGCAACCGTATAAATAAAGCTTTCGTATGTATGCGTTGTATATACTTTGAATTCACTTACTCATAAATGTGATGTAATGCCAAGAAGCACTTGGCATGTGAAACCTCTCTAGCCTTGGTCAAACAGATCCACCCTAAACGTTGTTGCATCAGGTCTTCTTTTAGCCTGAAGCATTCATGAAACACTCCCCTTAACAGTACATTACTCGCCCGAGAACCATGAATGAATCGTTGTTCAGAAAGCTTGAAAGTACCGAGCTGAAACACGACTATATCAGAAACTGAAGGCACCATGCAAACAGCACATGCAGTCGATCCTATTCATCACATGGGATAACAGAGTCCAGAGGGATGTGTAGTGTTCCATATATCAGTCACAATCTTATTCCTCAGACAGCAGTCCGGGCTAAATTTGACACTGGGATATCAGCCTGCCTACAAATAGAAACATGCTAACATAGAGCTTACTACTCCCAACCTCGAAATAAACCTCCCCACTCACCAGAACGTGTGTTTTGATACGAGCTGTGGCCAAATGGGAACGTAAAAGAAGAGACTAGTTGATTGAATTGCACGATTCATAAATGTTCTTAACTCTTAAGAAGCGTAGCAATATTTGTTCCAATTGAAATCGCTTATCACAGACGATTTACCTTCGTGAAAAACACATTTTAACTTCCCTTCACTAGAGGCATTACTGTTACACTAGTGTAAGACTGATGCTGTAACGTTCACACCGATATTATAGTGCAGTATCTAACAGCACATGCTCGCCAGGTCTGTGAGATGAAACGTCCTTAATGAGCTTCACCTCCACTGGACTATATAGCGAGCCACACGAGAGCTTAACTCACATCCTAGAGAACAAAAAGCTGAAGAACAGATGCATGAGGTCAGGACACAGTGAGTAGCACATTTTTCTGCTGTGTGAGCAACAGTACTACTGAGGGATAAAAAAAAAATTAAAAAAAAGAGCTGCTGATGTCTGATTAGATTTGGGCTTATTAAACTAACAGACTCTGGAAAAAGCCTTCCAACATCCTACTTTTCACAAGCGTCTCTTTAAAAAGGAGATAAGATTTGGTTATAAACTCACACGCTGAAGACACAATTAGCTCTTACTTTTGGTGAGGTTGACGAGAAGAATAACATCCGTACAATAAGCGAACGGGATGATCGCTACGATTCCCTTTTGACTTCACATATTAAAATACATTTCAGCTGGAGGTGGTATAAACAGGATAAAGGAGTATTGTAAAGCATGCGGTTTATTCAGACAAGGAATACTCAGTTTTGAGAGGGCGAGCTCGACCAACCTTGTACAATTACTTATTGTTGTCGAACAGTCTGGAGCAAGGTATTGCTCATTTTTCCAAAAACACCAGCCTAGAAAAACCACACTGGACTACCACCGCAATGTACAATAGACGTGTCAAAGCCAGAGAAACATGCAACCACTCCTCTGTCTGGAATGGACAAACAAGTCACCATAACATCTCAGATAGAACATGTGCATGATGGGCCCTCGCTCGACTACAGAGGAAACAGTTATACTAAAGCCACAGAGCAAAAAACCTAAACAGGAAGTGAAGAGGATTTCACAGTGGAGGGAGCACAAGATGACAGAAAAGAAACCGCTATCCACCAAAATACACTGACATTTACTGGTTTACAGGACAGTTTGGTTATAATTCCCATGATACAACAGTGCCGATTTTGGGAGTAACCTCATTTTAAGGCCGATAAATCCCTAAAACGTCCGCTTAAGATTTCCCTAGGCACCTCCGTGCTTACCCTAAATAAAAACTAAAACACTCAGCAATCTTTTACAGTCGAATACTTCCACCTCATCTCAACAGTTTCATTTAAACAAAAGGGCAGTGAGCTATTGATGTGAGCCCTTACTCTGGTGTAACACGATTTATCTGAACCGTCTCCTTTATTGTTCAATATCATGGTCAATATTCTCAAACGTTAATGCTGATTTTGGGGTCTTATCAATACCAGTTTCAATTAAAGTTTCTGATACATTGCCAACACATTACACGCTTCCTACGAGTTAAGCACAGGCAGTGTGCTTTAACCTGCCAAACACAAAATAAAACATCTTATACTTCCAAGCAACATAAACAACTGCTCCCACAACTCCAACGACCTAAACCTCAACCTACCACCACCTGACTACAGATGTTGTGCCATAAATGAGTTCACGACCGAGCCCCCCCCACCACCACCACCACGATGTGTCAACCAAGATAAACAAGTCGATTGCTTATGTCCTTGCCTCGAACACCCCAGCCAACTACAGACATGTAGCAGGGATACTGCTAATTGTTACTTACTTTCTGAACTGTGGACTTTATGATGCATTTTCTGGCCCTTCCCCCAACTGAGGCACGTAAAATGGCTTCCTAGAAAAAGCATATCAGCTGTTCTTTTGCTAGACCCCAAAAAAAAAAAGCTTTGACACATCAGCTATTATGTTGCCTTTCCTAGGTGATGTTTGACTTAAAAACACAGCTAGGACTGCCACCAATGTGCTTTAATAAATGCAGGGTCGATGTGCGGAGGCCACAGGACACAACAAACCAAAAGTTTTCGCTAGTCACTGTGAGAAAACCCGACGATAGTTAGATTGTCCCGTTCATGGGGCAGAGAAAACTGCAAACAAGTAAAAATAATAGTTGCTCGAATTTGAATTGTCACGCTTTAAGAGTTCATCTGCAGTTAAAGAGCAGAACAGTTATTAAAGCACGATGAACATGCGAGCAGCTTCTGTTTTATCACATTTAACAAATGCCGAGTAAGTAATTATAAACTGTGTACAACCATATTAAACAATGATGTGTCAACGAGTAAAATAAACAAACATCAGACGTCACATGAACAGTATCACTACGATCTCTTTCTCACTTTTTCCGAGGACGAGGAAGCCACCGCACGAATTACAAAATAACGTTTAACGATATCATCATTTTAACGATCAATTGTTGCAGTTTATCAGAACTCAAAAGTAGCCACAACGTCTGTCCGTTTAGCAGGAAGCTAACACGCTACCTACAAGACTATACCTGCATATTTCCTTTAGCATAATGTTAGCGTTGTTTGAGGCTAGGCTAGCGGCTAGCTTAGCTATGAAACCATTGAAATTTCCTGCAGACATTTTAATTAACATCCTCCCAAAATGTCAGATAACCATTGAGTATAGTTAATAACCAAATAACGTCTTCTGTGATGTTCGCCATCCTTACCTCTTGTCTTCTTTTTAGGCCCAAACCATTGTAGCTATTGGAAAGCTCTTTTTCTCTTTGTCTTTTTCCACTTACACTTACACGCAAAATGGACTCAAGCAAACCGCTATAACAGCTAAAACACTAACACCGAATGGACGGTGTCCATCTTTTCCCTAAACCGCAACTGCGCATCGAGTAGCAAACTGAATAAATTCATTTTATCTGTCGTTCGTGTTGTTATTCCTGAACATAAGTGAGTGATAGGTAAGGCTGCTAAGTTAAGTAGCACAGCAGGTACCACAGACAGGACTGGATGCATGGATGGCAGCAAGCGGTGCTGCCTTCAATTGCCGTGGGAAATATGTGTAGCCGACCACCTAATCAAGGAAATATGACATGGAAGTTGTTGTTTTTTTGTATTTTAGAGAAATTATTATTTTGACATTCAGCTCACCGGATTCCAAAATCACCGATAAGGAAGTTGAGTCAAACGTAAAAGAGCCATATGTATATTTGAACTGTGCAGTTTCACTAGTGGCTGGTGATTATGCTAATTCCGACGTTGGGAATGCAACATTCATGTGACGCACAGATAGTACAAGATTGTAGCAGACTTGACGGTCAAGGCGGAAATCATGGAGAGCGTTTCATTGTTCTCCTATCTATTTATAAATATACAACTGGACTACTACATTCAGTTGTCACAGGTCTCTTTTTGGCTAATTAGAAATACTGTAAATGAAGTTACACATATGTTCATGTATGTTTCCTCACATCCATTAATGGTAACTTTGTGGTGCTTAATTTATGTCCATCGACTTCAGTCTTTTGTGCTTTATTATTCTCAGTTATAGAGTTCACCGATTAGATTAGTCTTTGTTGGCTACTTACGATCCAATTTATTCAATAGAAGAAATCCATCAACTATTCCCCAAAAAGTTTGTTGTGTTTGATCAAGCACATTACGAAATATCGTTTCCTGCCATTTCAGTCAATTGCAAATGTGTTTAAAATGCACTTTAAAAGTTACTCAAGCTACACATACAGTATGTAGCACATATTGTGGTGATTAAGCTGTGGCATTATGGACATTTTTGTGGTCTGCCACACCCAAATGAATCATCATCATCCAGGGTCCGGTAGTCCGAGAGGCAACATATTGAACTCATGATTGCAAATAAAAATTTCAAAACACTTTTTATACAAACCTAGGAAATAGCATCATGTATACCATCATATTCCAGACAAAGTGAGATGCTCTTTATTTTTAAATATCCTTTTCTGTAAATAAGTCAATTGATTACCATTTTATTCTTCAATGCATATGTAGTCATTATGCGATTCTCTTTAGCAAAATAAAACCTATTACAATGGCAAATTACAAGAGCAGTGAAAATAAAAAAAGCAAAGTTTATTTTTCAGTGAAACAAGCAACTGCAATTTCATCGCAAACAGACCCTCTAATTTCAAACTAGTGTCAAATTTAACAAACTTGTATGCCTTATCCTTTAATAGCTCTCAAAGGTCTGTTGAATTCCAGTTATGGCATTGTATTATTTAGGTTGTGAGCAGCACACCAAGTCTGACTAAAAATATACTTTAATACAAAATCACAAATTCAACATGAATAAGCACATCTGTTTCTTCAGATATTTAAAATGAATATCCTCAGTAGACCTACAAACAAGAGAAAATATCGCATTAACAAAACTAACAGGGGAAAATGTGTTTTGAAAACAGAACATGACACATTGACCAACCCCCAAAAAAATCTCTTCTCTCTAATTTCCATTTTGCTAAAACTGCTGGAGCAGTATTACAGCCCTAAAGGTCTCCCGTCCAATCAGATCCAACAATGGATTCGAAGGAAGAAAAAAATAGAAAAAACAGTGGACAGCTAAAATCTACTTAGGGTAACAAACAAGAACACCCACTTAATCCAACATATTTATTCATTTCTTCTTTTTCTTCTTCTTTGGAGGTCCCTGATCTGAATCGCTGCTGCTTCCTGAGTCTGAGCTGCCCGAGGACGAAGAGGAGGAGGAGGAGGAAGAAGTTGAGGAAGAGCTGTCATCCTCGCTGTCACTGCTGCCGTCGCCGTCATCTGAAGAGGAGCTAGAGGAGTCGCTGCTGTCTGACGAGGAGTCGCTTGAGGAGCCGTCGGAATCGCTGCTGCTGTCGCTACCATCTTTAGCCCTGAGAGCAAACAGCAGAGCAGAGGAAACACATGAAGATACATTCAGAGAATAGAAACAGCGTGTGTTGGTATGAAGGCCTCACGCTGTACCGGTTACAGTCTGGCAGCTGTTTCTTTTTTTGTTGACTGTTCTTAAGCAACACTGACATGCTTGGTTTACCTACTTTGAAAGTGAAATGACACGATGTCTATGATGTTGCAAGGTATTTGTTTGTTTGGGTTACTTAAACTGAGAAAACCGGAGCAAACTGGGAACAAAGTACTCTTTATTCTGTTCTTTGGATGTTGTTTAAACCAGTGTAGTCACGCCAAAGGTAAAGCAATACGATTAGTCTCACCCATCAGGGCTTCCTCTGTTTTTTTTTTGTTGTCATTTATGAGGGGGGGGGGGGGGGGGGAGCGACACATTTAGTGCTAAATAGTCATTGATGTCACCAGCCTCTTATATCTCTTGACTGATCGCAACGGCCCCTCCCACCACCAGACAACCACGGCCTGCGACTCCAAAACAAATTAAGCAATTACACATGACAAAACACCGTCTTTTATAATTTATGATGGAGCCAACCTGTCTGTAGAGCTGCTGAAGTCCACTGCTAAATTATACGCTGTAATGCCTGTTTGGTGACATTTTTTGAACAACTCAACATTCAACCTGTGATGATGTGAGTCAGTGGTCTGGGGGGGGGAGTGAGATCAGCTGAACAGATTCTTTGAATGACAAACACAGGTGTAGCTAATAACATTATTAATTGCTGCATAGCACAGCAATAACTGCTGGAACTAAGCCATTGTTCACAATGTTAGTTCCACCTGTGCTTCCCCTGCTACAAGTCAAATCTCTGCTGTGGAAAAGGTCACACTGATTCTTTTTGTCAAAGTAGAAAAAGCAAAGGTGTAAATAATTAAATTAACGACGGCTGCTGCTGCTTCAGGGTCCTCGTTAGTAACACCTGTGCTGTTGCGACCACCACAAGTCAAAATGTCTGCTGTGAAAAGGATCTTTCAACAACACATTAGATATTCTCATTTGATTATAAACAGTAAAACACATGAAAAAAGAAAAGCTGAGGATAACCCCAAAAAAAGTAAAACGTATTATTAACACAAGTGACCTTTTGGAGCAAACACATTGTGAGAAGAAGGCATTAGACATACTGGATTGTTTTACTGCTGGTCTTTAAGCAGTTCTGAACAAACTGTAGTGGCTCGTCATGGTCATCAATAGTCTCCACTAGAGGGAGCTGTTGTGTCACACTTCAGTCATTAATAGTTAAACATGTCTACAGTTTGGACTTTGACTGAAGAGTGGAAGAGTAACACTGCAAAGGTCATCTACCTTCCATAAACACCACTTGATCCCAACGCCGTAACGCCATCCCCTCCGAGGAAGAATCTCACACCGAGTCAAACTTAAACTCATGTGACTACCGTGTTACCGTGTGTGAATGACCCAAACTTTCAAGGAGCCTTTTGGATGAATGGTGCACTATCTTTAGGACTAAAACATTCATCTAGCTGCGTCCAAAATAATCTCTATTGCTGGTTTTATAATTCCTCCTGAAATGTATTTTAGTTTTTTACTTTTACAACACTTTGTATGACTGATACAATTTACTTGCTAATTCAACTCAAAATGTAGTGGATTACTACATTGTCAAGATGGGTGAGACTTATATAAACCTTTTTTGTACGACCTATTACGCTCAATCACCAAAATTGGAAATAAAAGTATACAGAGCCTGGCTAAAGTATTCACCCTCTCTGCAGTTTTCATATTTTGTTGCACTACAACTCTCTTGGCAAGTTTGTTGTGGTGCCATGTTCTTTAAATAAATATGCACTTACCTCAGTTTTTTTTTAAAAGTTTTCCTTTCTCATTTTGACTTTTTTGTGTAGATCAATTGCATAAAATACAAATCTATTTAAATTACAGGTTGTAATGCAACAAAACAGGAAATTATTCAAAGGGGGGTGAATAGATTTGCAAGTCACTGTCATTTGGCCAAAGGCCCAAAAAGAACTGTGGGTCCAGTACTGAAGTATTTTTAAGTATAATGCATATGAAACGTGCACCTCTTGCACTTGTTTCACATCAAACATATTGTGTGGAGCCAAAACATATAATCGTACTTACTTCTTTTTCATTTTCTTCTCATTGGGTCCTTCAATTCCTGGTCTGTACAGAGAATAAAATAAACAGCCTTAGAGACATATTATTATTATTATTATTTGTCAATAAGCTGAGCTTGAATTGGGTCGATATTCACAAGTGATAAAGTAGGAATGTCTGTTGCAGGTCCTGTTTTTTTTCACATTAAATAGATCATTAAACACAGCTGAGTGATCAATGTTGTCCAATGTGCCATATCTGATCATTAAAAGAAAACTATTAGAAATGGGAATACTCTTCACCAGTAACTTGGAGGCTGTATTTATCATTATGTCCTCTAGATGGCGATAAACATCTACATCCTTGTCCTCTGCTGACAGGTCACTTTCTGTCTATTGACAGATTCACAGTATTAGAGTTGAGCGAACGATACCGAAGGTGTGAACAGCAATGTTTTCAATACATTGTGTCAGAGCTAGTGTCAAATCAGGATTACCACATGCCCGATGGAGTCTGAAGCTTTAAACATCACTCCTGCTTCAGAAAGAGCTTCATTCAGGTTGGAAAGTTATGGCTAAACTTTGTGATAAACACATTAGTGGGATGAGAAGAGAATACTTGAGAAATATGGTGATGTACACGAGAAACACATTATCATAGTATGATAACATCTCCACATGATTCCAAGTAATAATGCTACAAAACAAGCTCATTTAATGAATATCATTATCCAATTAAATCATGAATCATATGAAATGTTACATAGTTAAAAAGACATGAGTTCAGCAGAGTTCTGACTTGTGATTACTGAGCCAAAAATATATAAAAATTAACCCTTGAAGTGAACAAGAGAGGCTTTTGGCTTCCTCAAAAACTCCCATGGAATGCCAGAAACTGTACACCTTAAAAGTGAACTCACAGTCCCTATCTGTGCACCGCTAGTTATCCAAAGTGGTGCACTTATGGAGACGCCTTACCCAGTAATGCTGAGGGGTTTGTTTTCGTTCTCCTTGAGTTTCTTTTTCATCTCAACTGTTCTTGACGGTCTGTGCACGTATTTCCGCTTCCCCGTGCATTCGTAGGTCCAGTGTCCGACCTCCAAACACTTCTGGCAACGCACATTCTGTTTGTTTGCCTCTCTGTGTGAAATAAAAGAAAAGACATGTGAATGAGGATAGACGCCGCATGTTTGTCAAGAAATACTCGGTGACACTGTTGGAAGGTTGAATCATATCAATGTTTCTGAAGATGCTAATGTTTTTTAATCAAACATTCTACAGTCTGTATTTTCACATCTTCTGGAGTACGTGCGTGCATGTTTCTCCAACAAGTCCTGACACCTAAACAACAGAGAACATTGTCTGTCAAAAGATTACTAAACCAATGCTGTCTGATCTCCCATCCCTGTGGCTAAGATTGGGTACCTTAAACTACTCTGTAAAATGTAGGGAAACATTTGTTCATAGTTATGGTTCTGGAAACAACACGGTAAAAAAAAGTATAAGTTGCAAACTGAAATGTTGCCATAATCCAATTTATTACCTCAACTTCCACTAACTTGTCTCGTCATTTCCAACTGCTGGGAAGGACGAATCTAAACGTTGAACTGTGTTAGAGAAGTCTGTGATATTAGTTTGTGATATAGTTTGTATGAGCATGTGTGTGACTGGCTGTGTTTCGTTGTGTCTTATCTGCGCTCTTATTTAAGCTGCTGCACTCATGTCTCTCTTGTAAATGAGATCTTGATCTAAATGAGAGTACATCACACGTGTGATTTGTCATACCATAACATTATATTATGACATGCTATAAATCGATATAGAAACAACATTATCTTGATGCGTTTTCCATAATACGCAAAAAATACAACTAATTCAACGGACTTGAAAAAACACACGGTTAACGACAGATGTTACTTGACATATAATCTTTCACTATATCCCCAATAACCCGAACTCCTGCCGGTTATTTGTTCATTAAAACATATCAGTTACGAGTTTAAACCCCCAAAAACAAATGTTTGAGTACAGAAAACAGTCCGACAGTTGAATAAAAATGATGTATCGGTAAAGAAAGACCGTGGCGCATTTGTGCTCCATCAAGCCCTGACGGTTCGTATTTTACCTCCTTTATCTAACACGAACCTCGGCGAGTTTAATGTGATTATTGTTTAAAAGACCACCACGTTCACACAACGACGAAAACGAAGCATTTTAACTGGTTTATCTTAAGTATACTCACGCTTGCCTCCTGGCTATTATCCTGTGCATGGGAGTCGCCATGTTGCAGTTTACTTTTTCTTCTTCGGTGGTATTAGAAGTACCAATTTCCGGTGTTGTGTCGAAAGTCTGTTTTCCCCTCCTGTAAAATGATAGCGCCCCCTTTCGGTAGTTGGTTAGGGACAGGTTCGGGGTAAGGGTCGTTCCGGAGCAGGTTTAGGTTGTATGGAGGATAGAATTCGACTTAAGTATAAATAAATAAATGCATTAATAAATGTATAAATAAATACAGGAATAAATACATAAATGCTTAAATAAATGTTTAAATAGAGAAATAAATTTAAAAAAAGAATAATTCAATGCTGAAATAAATACTGAAATAAGTAAATGCTGAAATAAATGCTGAAATAAATAATTAAAAGTATAAATAAATAAATAAATGCTGAAATAAATATAGAAATAAATAAATTAATGTATAGATAAATAAATAAAAGTTGATAATCAAACAGGACATAAAGAAATACATATCATATATTTATTTCTACATATCTGTTCACCTACATTTATTTATTTATGTGCATGTATGCTAATGAGGTGGGAGGTCCTAACCTCTGTCGAAAGCAGGATTGGTCACAGGAGTGTGATGCTTCTGGTATACTACTTCTGCATTGCACAGTAACATTGAAGTTGGCCAGCCCAGTGTTGCCAAATTGACGATTTCTTGCTAAATCTGGCGACTTTCCGCATTTATTTATTCTTTTATTTAGTCATTTCTGTATTCATACATTTATTTATGCATTTATTCCTGTATTTATGTATCATTTATTAATGCATTTATATATTTATACTTAAGACACTTTTCGTCCTCCACAATGTGGAGGCAGAGCCTGTAAAGTGGAGATTTTACGGGGGATTTAGAGCTGGAAGACTCCATGGTTTGGCACAGTGACCTCACGGAGTCTCCTGAATTAAAGTACTCCTGTGGTTGTTGTGCTGACAGAGAGAGAGACAGATTCACAAAGCCTAAAATAACTCAACTCAACTAGATGATATTTTTAATTAATTAATTAAATTAGATTCTTATAATTTGTCCAGGTTGGATTGCATTTGTGTTTCGTGTTATGTGTATATTGTTTGATATAAAATTATAAAAACAAAATGTGTAAAGCTGTGGTTTGTTTACTCAAAAGATTTAAACTGTGTGGTAGGCTTGTAAAATATGACTTCATACTTCCAACACCCTCGTGCAGCACAGGCTATTTTTGTTTTCCCACCGATAGTTGATCCGAGGCATCATCAAAACTATAAGTCCTTGATTTCTTTATACAATTTGGATTCACAGTAAAGGTTTGAGCTCCGAAATTATCTTTTAATAAGTAGGAATCACAGGATATTTCCCCCTAAATCTCGAATATTACAGAACGGTCATATTCACATGGCTATAGAAACGTCTAGAGTTATCTAGAACAACGCAAATCTCGCGATAACTCCTTGACGAGAAGTCAGTTCCACCACCTTGCTGCTGTACTGTATATATGTCTATGCTGCAGAGACACCGGTAACAGACAGCCGTGTGGATTATGACTACAAGTTGCTCTACTTAACACAGAGCAACAACGCTTTTACATCAATTTAAAGCGGAACAACTCGTTTCTATTTGTGTTTGTACAACTGTAGATACCGTTATAGCTAGAAGACAGTCTGAGGATGTCAGTGGTGGGATTTGACTTGGGCTTTCAAAGCTGCTATGTAGCTGTAGCCCGAGCCGGAGGGATCGAGACAGTCGCTAATGAATACAGCGACAGATGCACACCGTAAGTACCTAAACCCAGGTGTTATTGATTGGATTTATGAGAGGATGGCTTACGAAGAGAAGGGTTTTTTATTTTCTAGTTGATTGCAGCTTTACTTACAAGCTACCATTGACTCTACGGTTAACATATCCTCTCAGTAGGAGTATATTAGTTACACGTGTGTAAATGTTTTCAACATGGAACCGTCTAGAATTAACGCTAGCTAATCCCCAGTGTACATAGCTGGTCCTCCCCATCGAGCAAGCAGCTAGTTAGCTAAACTCACGGGGTTTTTAGTGTCGTTAATGTACAGTTTGAAAAACGGGGCTTCCGTTGTCCGGAAAACACGCGCGGGCGGTGTGATCCCCACCCGTTACAATTGCCGTCGGTCATGTCTTGAAGGCGAAAGCCCCGACCAACCAACCGGTGTGCGCCGTGTGGGGAAACCGTGCGTCTTGCGTTTACGTTCTCATCTATGACGACAGCTTCCAACAGCTTGTTGGAAATTTCTAGCAAGTTGTTGGCTCTAAAGATATAACTGTACTGTTTGTATTGCGCTTAAAAAAATGCATTTTTAAAGAAGGTTGTCGCCAAGCTCTTTTTTATATATCTTCTAATTTTAGCAAATTTTTCTGACATGGTACACTTTGTACCCACAATGTTACATTTCTTTAAATTATCATAATTAAGGTCTTTAGGCTAATGATGCACTTGATTGCACTGAAAACAATATTTAAGCCATTGAGGATGGATGTATTTACAGTATTATCATTTTTTTTACTTGTTGACATTATTATTATTGTAAAATGAATAGGAAGCATATACTGATGTTTTTGATGACTGTAAGAAACTAGTCATTACTGAAGCAATTAGTTGCATTATTTAATTTGTTAATGGCATGAGAGATAATATATTTTGATCAAGTGATTAAATGTGCAATTTCAAGACATCAGTTTGCTCTCTTGTGATAGGGATGTTTTAGATTTTCTAAATATTTAATCAAACAAGTATCATAATAGTTTTTTATCTTTTTAATTTTAGTTTTATGGAAATGTTCCTATGTCCATGTTTTCTGCCCTTTACATCACTAGATGTAAAGGGCAGAAAACTTAACAAAGCTTTCTTTGAAAGAATATTATGATCTGTCTTGGGTAAAAAAAAAAAAACGGCAATCGTTGCTGCTGCAGACGTGGGAACAAATCTGTCCCTTTTTATGTGTGTTGGGCTCAGAAATGTCATGTCATGTGTAGGCATAACTTAATTGGTAAATCTGTCTTGACTCGAGGTGTATTCACAAATAGGTGGACAACACAAACCACTTGCTCGTGATGGCATGTATGTTGTAGAGTAACATTGTCGTTTGTTGTCCTCCAGCTCAGTTGTATCGTTTGGACCACGAAATCGGTCCATAGGAGCCGCTGCAAAGAGCCAGGTAAGATCAGTTCAGTTGCTCTGTTGACGTCTTTGGAGTTACTTTTAATTAAAAGCAGAAAAAGTTGAAACTTTTTATTTATTGTGTTTTCTCCTGTCATGTCCAGGTGGTGACCAACTGTCGTAACACGGTGCAGAGCTTCAAGCGATTCCACAGCAGGGCGTTCACAGACCCTTATGTCCAGTCGGCCAAGTCTAACTTGGTGTACGACCTGGCACAGATGCCGTCTGGAGCCACCGGCATAAAGGTAAGATGAAGAATATCACGGTGCCTCTGCTGTAGTAGAGATAACATAGGTAACCACAACTAGCTGGAGAGAAAGATGCAGTTATTTACAAGAAAATATCAAAGTAATATATGGGCTAGCGCATTCATCAACCGGGTGCTGTGTCCTGAGCTAGGTCCAGATTAAAAGGGACAGCCGTAAGAAATCAAAATCCTTCTCCGTCATCTTTCCCTGTCTGTCCAGTCCTCTGTGCTCTTATCCTAACAACAGTCTCCCGTACCACTGTCTTAAACTATTGTATATTTCGTTGGCATTTTATCTCCTGTAAAATTATTCTGCGGTAAGAAATGATCATTGTGCTGTGTCTCTGAACCTTTCAATTAGCTGATTGCATAAATATGAATGTTGCTAACCCTTGGTGCCATCAGATTGAGTGTGTTAGACTCTTGTGTACGGCTAGCACACCGTAAACACACAGCCCGCCATGTTTGTGTGTCCCTGTGGAGATAATTAATGTGAATCCTCAGAAGAAATAACAAATCAGAGAAGACCTGTTGTTGCCCACAAAATCAGTTTTCAGATTGCATAATGACACATTATGTACACATAAGTTTTTGTGGGGCCTGTTTTTAGGAGCTTTCAATCTGTTATGATGAAACTGGCGGACTTTTTCATTGTTATTTATAGCTATTTACAGTTATCTATAAGCTATTTAAACAATTTGCCTCAAGAGTGGTCACCTTCCAACTGTTCCTCAACTCTAGGTCATGTACATGGAGGAGGAGAAAGTGTTCAGCATCGAGCAGGTCACCGGCATGCTGCTGTCCAAGCTGAAGGAGACAGCTGAAAGTGCACTGAAGAAACCCGTAGCAGACTGTGTCATCTCGGTGAGCATTTGCACAGCGGTTTCACAGCTTCAGCAGGGTGTCTGACAATCTATACAGCTTCTGAAAAAGACTTGTCAGTACAGTGCATTCATTTTCTTTGGCTTTTTTCTTGTGGCAACACATCTTAGCTAATTGGCTTTAAATGTCTAACGGGTGTTAATTTACTTGTTGGATCACGCAATGTTGCTTTTTAAAGATGTGGCATTGGTGTGACTCACTTTACTTACTGTACTTCAAGGTGTTTAAATGTATTGCCACCTGTTCGTGTGACATGTTGAGCTCTAAGCACTTCACCAGGTGTTTAAAAGCTTGATTTCCTTGTTGGTGAATAGCGGTCTGTGTTTCTTGCTGTGCTCCGTATATGAATTCAGCGAACGGCATCTGTTATGTAATGATCTCACACAGGGAGGCTGTTCCTTTCACTGGCCCTTAATCTACTGCTTGCATCAGCCCTAGAAATGGATAAGATGTTATTATTATTACGGTGGCCAAGAGCTAAATTTAGACCTTTTCCACAAGGAGATGTTTTGTTTTGGCTCCCGGAGTAACTGACGCGTCGACGTCATCCAGATAATTCAGGCCATTCATGCATCAATAGTGTTCAAAGTGATCATTCACACAGAAGGAATAAAGGATATGTTTGAACCTTTTTGACATCTTTGGCTCGTTATCAATGCCTTACAGTGATGCCATGTGTGTACAGTTAGTTTATTAGAAGTGCTTCCAGTCAAATCCCTCATCTGCATTGTTTTTCCCCTCCCAGGTCCCGAGCTATTTCACTGACTCGGACAGGAGGTCTGTCATGGATGCAGCTCAGATCGCAGGCCTCAACTGTCTGCGGCTAATGAATGAGACCACTGCAGGTATCTTGAAGCACACTGTTATCTATGCAAGCATTTTATTTGTATGCATTTGCATTCTTGTAGTTCTCTGTAGGTCAGATGTAGTTAGCGTAGTTGTGTGCCCAAACTGACACACACGATGCCGGTTTGTTGCAGTGAGTCTGGCATATGGCATCTACAAGCAGGACCTGCCGGCTCCAGAAGACAAGCCCAGGATAGTGGTGTTCGTGGACGTTGGCCACTCGGGTTACCAGGTGTCAGTCTGTGCCTTCAACAAGGGAAAGCTCAAGGTGAGGAATGAATCATTTGTGTGCCCACTTTGAAAAGCAATACTAGGAAAAGGTTTTCAGGGGAGGGGAGGATGAAACAGCCCTAAGATGAAGCAGCTTTTGCCAAAAAGTTTTACATTTCTTTTCTCATGTGGGCATAGATAAAGCAGGATGGTAAGCAGTGCTTACTCCAGTGAAAGAAAGTCCATTTTGTTTCCGTTGTTCCTCACATGCATCCTAGACATACAGCTGTGCATTAACTATGATTATGAAATATTCATCCAACCCTTTCTCCACCGTCAGATACTGGCCACAGCGTTCGATTCCGAGCTCGGTGGGAAGGCCTTCGACGACATCCTGGTCAACCACTTCTGCGAGGAGTTTGGGAAAAAGTACAAGCTGGACGTCAAGTCCAAGCCCCGGGCGCTGGTCCGACTGTCCCAAGAGTGTGAGAAACTCAAGAAGCTGATGAGCGCCAACTCCTCCGACTTGCCGCTCAACATTGAGTGCTTCATGAATGACATCGATGTTTCCGGTAAACTTAACAGGTGAGATGCAAGATCCCTTTACCGTCTTTTTGAGTTTCCTTTCCCCATTGACTCATGTCTGAATATTATAGAGAGCTGCTATAAATAAGCACGAATTTAAAAAAATGCGTTGTTATAATTAGAAGTGCCTTTTAGCGGTACTCGGTGTGTGTGTGTGCGAGTCTATTAATAACCCTTCATGTGTCCCCAGAGGTCACTTTGAGGAGATGTGTGCGGGGCTGCTGACCAAAGTAGAGGGTCCCCTTCGCAGCGTCATGGAACAAGCCAGTGAGTGCATCTGGACTATCCCCGTCAGCACGTGCACACACACACAGTGCTTGACAGAAGTATTTAACAAAGCCGTGGAATAATACAAATATATATTTGGGTGCCAGAGTAGTTTTGTTTAATGTGCTTTCACCAAAAGATATAATGTTGAAGAAAATAAATCCTGAATGTCATTTTTCTGCAAACAAACACAAACTTTCTGTGCCGTTTACGCTCACAATGTTTTGATCAGAGTATTAGAAAATGGAGCTGTGATTCTGTATGCTTTAACACGCCTGTTTCTGCAGAGCTGAAAAAGGAAGATGTCTATGCGGTGGAGATTGTGGGCGCAGCCTCCAGAATCCCATCCATCAAAGAGCGAATCAGCAAATTCTTCGGCAAAGAGCTGAGCACCACCCTGAACGCAGACGAGGCCGTGGCTCGAGGCTGTGCTCTGCAGGTACGGCTCACCTGCGTAACTCGCACTGCAAACTGCTGACAGCTGTGGAAGTAGAATGGGAGGAATATGACATGCATGCACATGTATAATGTTTAAGTCACACAACTTATTTGTTGTTAATGCAGGATTTGTGTTAAAACATTTGCATGTGGTTTTCTCAATTGTTTTTGTCATTTTATATGCAATTATTTGTAATAAAAAAACACCAAACATTTGATGGTAACCAGCTTCAAGGCAAAAGTTTGAGCTTTAATAACGTGTCTTTTTCTCCTCTCCTCCCCAGTGTGCTATCTTGTCACCAGCATTCAAAGTCCGAGAGTTCTCCATTACAGATGTTGTCCCCTACTCCATCTCTCTAAAATGGAATTCAGCCGCTGAGGAGGGACTGAGGTAAGATCTCTGTCCCCTGAGAACATCACATAAGGAGTTGTTTTACTTCATGTTTGAATCTGACTGGGTGAACAGGGGAGTCCATCACACCTGTTTACTTTGGACATCACGCTTTACAAGATTCTGCAAAGCCAATACTTCAGTGTTGATATCGGCTTCATGGGGTTTGAGCTTTCAGGAGTTTACTTTGATAAACCTCCTCCTGCTGTGTGTTTTTACAGTGATTGTGAGGTCTTCCAGAAGAACCATGCGGCTCCCTTTTCCAAAGTGTTGACGTTCTTCCGGAAGGAGCCCTTCACCCTTGAAGGTTACTACAGCAGTCCCAAGGAGCTGCCCTACCCCAACAGCACGATAGGTACTGCAGGTTCAACGCCACAACAACACAAGTGCTTCACATGAAAAAAGCTGTTCCAACTTAAAAAGTAGTTTTTGGGAAACTTTCGTAGTTAATAATTTTTGTTTTTTTGTTTGCGATGCAAGCTTAAGTCCAAAGGGTGCCAGTTATGAGTAACTTAGAGACACTTAACTTTTTAACTTTGAGCACCGTGTTAGATTTGTTTTGCTCTTATTTTTGAGTGGTGAGCACGTATCCAATAATCAACCAACTCTATCCGGCCTTTAGTCACAAGATGTTCAGTTCTAGTTACAAAATTTCAGAGATGCTCGACCAAAGCTCCATGCGGAGCCTTCGTGCGCGACCTGAAGGCCACAAAGATGCCTCGTGCCAGCCTTACTACAGCAAGCACAAACCAAGCAGTAGTTTCCTCGCCCCTCCGCATTTGACATAAAAAGGTATTCTCACATATTCTAAACTGTTGCACCTTTCTCCGTCCTACAGGCCAGTTCTTGATCCACAATGTGGTTCCTCAGGCATCTGGGGAGAGTTCCAAAGTCAAGGTGAAAGTTCGGGTCAACGTTCACGGCATGTTCAGTGTATCGAGCGCCTCGCTCATAGAGGTCATGAAAACCGCTGAGGGGGAAGAGGCGATAGAGACGGACCAGCCAGCAAAGGAAGAGGAGGTGTGTGTACTCCTTGTATTTGCACTGTGTGTAAGAGAATGAGACACACACACACACACACACACACACACACACACACACACACAGGTTTTATTCTCTGCTGTTTGCTTTGTTTTCGCCTCAGAGATCTCGCTCACAGTCTGGCCGCACCTTGGTTTTTATAAAGTCAGTAATGTCATCACAATGGAATTCAGTTCTTGGAGTTCTTGCCTTAACAAGCTCCAGAAGACTTAAATGGGTTGCATTTCTCTCTCACTGATGCCTCCTTTGTCATTAGTTTGGCATTTTATTTTGGTTCGCTCGTCACCATTTGCCCTCCGGAGCCAACTGTTTCACCTTTTTCCCCAAAGTACTGCATCATAAGTGTTCTTCTGGTTTGAATGTCACTCAAGAGACTGCGAGTATGAACAAAAAATTGATTTTGTTTTTGTACCAGCTGCAAAATGCAATGTGTTATCTTTATTATGTCTTTCATTGTGTTACCGTGCGTCAGAACAAAATGCACGTGGACCAGGAGGATCACAAACACCAGTCTGGAGACAACGCAGACAACAGATCAGAGGTCGAGGAGATGGAGGTAACCCTGTGCATGACGTTAAGACAATCACCATTATGCCAATACATGTTCCATACTATATGTGGCAGAGTCACACTGCCTCTTTTACTTCCTTCTTTCCCTATTTCCATGCTAAGAATGTAGGAAGGAAAGGAGAAATGAATAAAGTATGGAGAAAGGGAAACATGACAAGAGATTATAAAGTTATTGTCAGATTTCCAGTACGTGGCTACTAACCAGTGGAGAATAATTGAAACAGTCATCGACTGAAGCACATGTTAGACATTTACCACAGCCTTTAGCTACGTCAGAGGTAAATGTTTTATTTGCACAGACTAAAATGATTTTCATCTCTCATTTTTCAGACAGCAGAAGACGCCAAGCAGGCGAAGAAGAACGACCAGCCCCCTCAGGCCAAGAAGCCCAAAGTGAAGACGAAGACGGTGGAGCTGCCCATCGAGAACAGTTTGCACGGGCAGCTGTCGGATGACGCACTAAATCTCTCTGTGGAGAATGAGGTAATGTTCTGAAAATCACCACGATTGTCTAGCAGGCGCTCACGGTATTTGTCTAAGTCATGTGCGAGTGAAACTTACTAGTACAAAGAAGAAACACTGTTGGTCACTTTATAATTTACGTTAATGATATAGCAGCTGTGCTTTATCTGATGACCTAATAACAACATCGTACTCTAAAACTTCTTTCCACATTGTTATTTAAGATTTATAACGGAGGTGGATTTGTTTTTTCCCCACCACAGAGCTTTTTAACTTTCACTTATTTACTTTACAAGGTTTAAATTTGGTTCCTTGGGTGTCAGCATCCACCAAATATAATTTAATATTTAATGTCCATTTGGTCCATCCTCGAGAGTTTTGTGTGTGCCCTTTTGCTGACTCAGTAACACCTACCTTGTGTCTCTTCCAGGGGAAGATGATCATGCAGGATAAGCTAGAGAAGGAGCGGAACGACGCAAAGAACAACGTAGAAGAGTATGTGTACGACATGAGGGACAAACTGCACGGGGTCCTGGAGAAGTTTGTGAACGAGGCTGTGAGTATAGATCGCACTTCAGACGCACGTTAACGGGCATTAATCTATTTCATGTTTTGTTCTGTTTGTTTTTGTACATTGTGAATTTAATCTTGCTCCTTGTTTGACATGTAGGATCGTGACGCGTTCTTCTTGAGGCTGGAGGACACAGAGAACTGGCTGTATGAAGACGGAGAGGACCAACAGAAACAAGTGTACATTGACAAACTGGCTGAACTGAAGGTACCCAGGCACGCAGTGCGTCACTGGACAGCAATAATAATACTCTCATTCAAAAGGGAACTCGTAGATTTTAAGAAGATGGTTCACTGGGCAGTCAATTGACCAGGCACCCTGCTTGTTAAGATGACTGTGATTTAGAATATATGTTTATTGACTGTATTCTGTGACTGTCATAGAAAGCTGATATTCATAGTTCAATATTTGAAATAGGAGAATAGCTTCATCCTCTACAATATCACTATTTCTCAGAAGTTAATTGGTTTATTTTGTCCCGACGAATACGCCTTGTTATGTGTTTTGTCTTCTGACTAAACGTGATGTCGTCCCTTTTCTACAGACAATGGGCCAGCCAATTTGTGAGCGATACATGGAAGCTGAGGAGAGACCAAAAGCTTTTGAGGAGCTCGGCAGACTGATCCAGATGTACATGAAGATCGTTGAAGCGTACAAGGCAAAGGTAGCCTGGCACAGAGAGCGAGTGTGTTGACTAACCAAAGGCTTGCTTAGTTTGATAATGTTGGTGTTGTATTAAACATTTTAATAACAGTTAATGTTGTTCTATGTGAGGTTATTTATGAAAATCGTTGTCCTAATTTATGTGTGCTTCTCCCAACAGGATGAGCTGTACGACCATCTGGATGAGCTGGAAGTGACTCGGGTCGAAAAGCAGGCAAAGGACGCCATGATCTGGATTAGCAGCAAGATGAACCAGCAGAATAATCAGGACCTCACTCTGGAACCAGTGGTCAAAGTCGGAGAGATCCAGGCCAAGATTAAGGTACCGAGAGTGCATTCAAGGCACACACACACACACACACACAACTTGAAAATGTGAAGGTAGCTTCACCAAATCCACTCCCTGTAGATTAGTGATTGGTTGTAGAAATCAACGTAATTTAAAAACTGATCGAGTGAGCAGAACCTGGTCGCTAGAGAAGAAATTGCTTTATTTAAATCTTCCTCTGACCAAATACTTCCTTCTTCCTTGTGCAGGAGCTTTATTCAGCCTGTAACCCCGTGGTATCCAAACCCAAGCCTAAGGTGGAGCCTCCCAAGGAGGAGAATACGGAGAATGGGCCAGTCAACGAGCAGGAGGCAACCGAGAGCCAGTCATGCAACTCAGACAAAGCCACATCTGCGGGCATGGAACAAGGAGCGGCCGAGAACAAGCTTCCTGAAATGGACATCGACTAACTGTTGCAGCTGCAACCTGAGTTTCGCCTCCGTTTTGTCCTGCTACTCACTGTCGTTCTTCTGAGATTTATATCGACGACACTGAAAACACAAACGGCAGCATCCCTAATTAATCGTGTTCATCAGCCATCCTCATCGGCATGTCATTTCTCTTTTTGTTTGATGAATACAATGCATAATATTATTAATGAATAGACTACTTTACGACATAACAGTTGTCGGTGTCGGGTGGAAGCTGCTTTCTCTGTGTTGCTTTGATGGCCATTATGTTAAAGATTGTTTAGTTCAGCATCTCCTGAGCACATTTAAGGTAAGACTGTCTGTCAGATTTGAAGAATTGTGAGCAAAGTGGCTGTGCAGAAGAAAACTAGTAATACACAACGTTACAATGTAAAGTAATGCAGTGTGTCTCTAAATGCGGTAGAGGTACTGATAAACGAACATGGACTGTTCCAAGTTGTACATGACTTCAAATAATTGTAACTGCTGGATTATGATGTATTTAGTTTAAAGTTGAGGAAGATGTTTTTATTGAGTTTAAGTGTGCTGTATGTTGAAACTAGATACTATAAGTTACTGTCATGCAGTATTTCATTGTTTGGCTTTTCTCATTCAAAAGCGATGGTCCGTTGGTTCTCTGGTAGCCTTGTACTGTTTTGTTTTTTTTTCTACTTAATGGTGCGAGCCAACAAATTTCCTTCTGGGTGCTGCTGTTGTTGCTGCATCACCAAAAAAAAGCAAAAATAAACCTTGAACAAAAAATAAAAGGAATAGACATTTGTTGCTATTAGTGGACGATACGATAATAGGTAAAGTGTACTAGGACAGACAATGATGATGCACTGGTCACAGTTTCATAAATGTCACTACCAGTTTTCTTTCTTCTATTTTCACAAATAATTGAGCGAATATATGGCTGAATAAACAACATCTTATGTTTTGGCTCGCTCAACACTGAACATAATAATTGACACAAGTTTTAATGCATGTAAGTTTATTAAAATAAATATATGAAAACCAAATACCGGGCACCACAGAGGTGCTGCTGCAGCAGAGAGAGAGGGAGTTGAACCATACCTTAGTCGGCACAGGTGCCTGCAAATCAGGTGATCCAACATATAGGGCTTAACAGGAAACTCCAAAATAAAACAGGATTTAACAATCGTCAAAATAATTGTCAGGTGCTGACCTAAGTCATGCAATCAGTAATCAAATATAATAATAATAAAGCAAGGAAAGCATTTAATATTGGATTTATCTGGTATTTGATAATGTGAATATAATAAAACTAATTAAATAAAGTTGGCGTCAATGATTTAACTTATACTACAATGTAAGATAATAAATACTCAAATACAAAATACCCTTAATTAATAAACATGAAAGGATGTGTCGCTATTAGCGTGGTTTGAATGAATTAAGCCTGCAGTGCATGAACCACCCAGCAGGCATCGCTGTCACACCCACACTGCCTCCAGTCATGCACCAGTCAGAGGGCAGGACTCACTAGTATTTGGTCTGAAAAGGTGAGAAACGCGTTATTTTTTCCACATATGTTCTGCGTCACCGCACTTATGTTAGTTTGATGTAGCTTAGCTCAGAAGTACGGAAGCAGTGTTGCCACGGTTTGATGTTGTCACAGAGACTGTAGCCATAGTCACTGTTGACATCAGCTAACGTTGCTAGCTAGCTTAGCACTGCTGCTAACTTAAGTTTCCTAGTTCGCTAGCTTAACTTTTATGTTGGCGGGAAAGTTTGCCAGTTTTACCCGTGTCCAAAAACAACACGCATCTTATTTTGGCGAGATACACATTTATGAATAATATCGACCATGTTTTAAAATTAATAAAGTTTACTTTTTGCTAGCTAGCGTGCTAATAACTCTGAGGCCACAGGCTGTAATGTTACGTTATCTAAAGGCAAGCTGACGTTCTGTGACGGCGAAGTTGCGACACCATTAACGTAGCTAGCGTTCTGCTTTGACTAAATGGTAATGCACTAACTTTAGACTAAATAATCAACATATGACAGGCTAGACAAGGTGTTGATAGTAGCTCGTGATAAACCGGTATGTGATGTGTGGTAGTTTGGCCCTGGCTAACATCATTGTGTTGCTTGTATTGTTATCGTTCTTTAGGAATGTAAATGTCCGAGGACAAGGAAGCCCAGGAGGATGAGCTGCTTGCTTTAGCGAGTATCTACGATGAAGAGGAGTTCCACCAGGCAGAGTCTGCACAGGGGGGAGAGATCCAACTCTGTCTGGAGCTCCCGCCTGACTTCAAAGTTGTTGTCAAAGGTACAGCTGTCACTGAGCTGTTAGATGTAGTCGGCACTTCTCACACTTTGCCTTAGGTCTATTGTGTAGATGACGGCACATGTATCGGTCTCTCTGTCACTATGAATGTAACTAAAATCTTCTCTGTGTGTTGCAGGAGAGAACCCCACTGAGTATTACGTCTGCTTCTTACCTCCTTTGGTGCTCAACTTTGAGCTTCCTGCAGACTATCCATCTACGTCCTCGCCGGTCTTCACTCTCAGCTCTAAATGGATGACCAGAGCACAGGTGAGGATCACTACGTCACTGTACAGGTTTGGTTAAGTATTCAAATTGAGAATCGACTAAGGAAAAAGCAAGTGGCTTCACCTTGAAAAAGGAGTTATTGTCTCCTTACCATTCATACACTCTCAACATCTGCTCCATTGTACCTCCTCAGATGAGCTCCCTGTGCAGACGTCTGGACGAGCTGTATGAGGAGAACCAAGGCTGTGTGATTCTTTTCCTGTGGATCCAATTCCTCAAAGAGGAGGTTCTGGACTTTCTGGGCATCCAGTCTCCTCTTGAAGTCATCAGGGGAGGAAGTAAGGCGTGTGGTGAGCGCAGGAAAACAGACCCAGCAGCCACAGGTACTGTGTGTGTGTGTGTGTGTGTGTGTGTGTGTGTGTGTGTGTGTGTGTGTGTGTGTGTGTGTGTGATTTGTTAAATTAATGTAGTTTTGTTTTTTTCAGTGACTAATATGTTTATCAATTTCTATTTCTTCAGCTCTGCCGCAGAGTGGGAGTCATTGTGAACACGTGGAGGAGAAGAAAAGGGAAGCGAAGAAGGAAAAGTCTTCGTTGTCTTCTCAAATGGACCCGCGGGCCGTCTTGGTGATGGACCCGCGGGCCGACCTCCTACCTCAGCTCCTGGACTTTGACGAGGAGCAGCGCCAGAGGGTGTTCGACAGCAAGGTGTTCGGCTGCGGGATCTGCTTCGTGGAGAAGCTGGGCTCAAACTGCCTCTGCTTTAAGGAGTGCCAGCACGTCTACTGCAAGGCCTGCATGACGGAATACTTCCAGATCCAAATACGGGACGGCAACGTTCAGTGCCTTAACTGCCCTGAGCCCAAATGTACCTCCATAGCCACACCATCGCAGGTAAAAGAGCAGCAAAGTCGATGTGTGTCTGTGAGCTTCTCTGAAGATCTAAGTTTACCCGTATCACTCTGTCTTCATCTCTCAGGTGAAGCAGCTGGTGGACGAGGAGCTGTTTGCCCGTTATGACCGTTTGCTGCTCCAGTCCAGTCTGGACCTCATGGCAGATGTGGTCTACTGTCCCCGCCAGTCCTGCGCCACCGCCGTTATGGTGGAGCCGGACTCGACCATGGGGATCTGCTCGGCTTGCCAGTACGCCTTTTGCACGCTGTGCAAGCTGGGCTATCACGGCCTCTCCCACTGTAAAATCCCTGCAGGTAATGGAACTGGAAATGCATTACACGTGTCAATACAAGACTTATGTTCTGGATCTGGTTCTAACACGTTTAATTAACTGTTACTTTATATTTTCGGCATTTTTTTTGTTCTAAATTCAGTATCAAGTTATCTTGATGTACTGCATGTCTGTATGAATGTGAGACTTAGTCCTGTTTTGTCATGTTTCATTCTATTTGGCACTTTATGTTGGACAACAACAGCTATCTAAATGCTCTACAGTTATGCGGATTGATAAAGTTACATTTTTGAGATAATCTCTTTGGGTAAAAAGAGTTAAGACTCTCATGAAATTAACTTATTTGCAATATTTAATACTAATTGGATGGTGTATTTTAGATATCACTGTGACTGTTAACTAAAATGTACAGTTGTAATGTTCAATTCTGGAAGCTAAACACACGTCAAAAAGTACTTTTTTCAGGTACTGCAATGGTGGAATATTGCAGAAAGATGGTTGAGGAGTTACATTTTATTCACGTCAACAACTGACTTTCTGTCCCCGTTTCCTGCCTCGTTCGACAGATGAGTTGCGTAACCTCAGAGACGAGTACCTGTCGGCCACCGCTGTGGGGAAAAAGTTCATGGAGCAACGCTTCGGGAAGAGGGTGATCCAGAAAGCAGTGGAAGAGTCCTTCAGCAGAGACTGGCTCAATGAGAACTGCAAATGCTGCCCGCGCTGTGGAACCAATATACAGGTCGGGCTGTGACTTCACCACCAGGGGGCACTGCTGCCTCTTTAGAAAATGAAACAAACATTTATTCTACTTGTATATATGCTATCATCTCTTCCATACTGTCCCTGAAGAGCCCCATGTTCATTGTGTCTTTCCAGAAAGCGGACGGCTGTAATAAGATGACCTGTACCTCCTGTAAACAATACTTCTGCTGGCTGTGCCTGGGCCTCCTCAGCAAAGTCAACCCGTACAGCCACTTTAACAACCCACAGTCGCTCTGTTACAACCAGTGAGTGATCTTCTCTCTGTTCACCACTCCAGCCAAGTAGTCACCGACGCTTAGTGTACATCTCTGACGTCTGAACTCTCTTTTCTCTGTTGCAGACTCTTCCAAGGTGTGGATCTCGATGAAGACGATGCCTTCTGGAGCGATGAGGAGGACTGACGACCCCCGCGCCGCACCTAGCCGCTGTATGCTCCATTGGAATGCACTTTATCCCCCATAAACCATCACTTCACCTGTGACACTAACTATGCCTGCGTCAGCGCACACCAGTGCAAATACAACATGTACCGTGGTGCCACAAGATTATGTTTTCAGGCATCTTGGGTATAAAACATTCAATGTCTGTGTGTCAGTTGTTCATGCTTAATATAATGACAGATTTCATGTACATAAGGTATTCAGGAAATGGAAAGAACCCTTTTAGTTTTAATCTCAGAGTAATGGAGGAACAACTGTGGACATTTTTCTTAAAAACATCAAGAATACATTGTTGGTGGTAATGAATCTTTTAGATATGATGATGTCATAGGACTGGACTGTTATTTCAAAAGAGAAAAAAAAAGAAATGTAAGTCTTTCTCTACTGTATTCTAGATTAGGTCTAGATATCTACTCGCTCCGTAATTGGACTTTTTCATGATGAGTTTTGACATTCACAGTAATGATCAACAGGTGATACTGGAGCCACTGGTCGAGGTGTTTGCTTACTATTCGCTATCAACTGAGCGTTGCAGCAAAAAGAATAACTATGTTTGCTCTTCTTTGTCATATTCAGTATCTACCCGCTGGCTGTTTCTCTGTCGTGTGTCAAAACTATGACGCTAACTAACCGCTAACTCTTCTTCAGACCAACTTCCAGTTGTATTTAGTGAATTTAAAAATCTAACTGAGACACACACACATGATACAGGATTAACATAAATATAGGAAAAACCTGTGGATTAATATCACGGACATAATTACAGAAATACCTAGGTTTTGTTGGTTGACTACCAGAATGGTAGGATTTGCTTTTTCATGATGAGTTAATTTACAGAAACGCGCATTTGCACGTGATACGATTGAAATCAGGCTTGTTGGAAAGAAGAATTTTATGAGATTGGTTTTGGGAGAAAGGGTTTCATAGTTGGTCCGTACAGACTAACGGAGGGCACCGCAGTAATTATTCATGACAGTCGGTCCTCTGATGGGGTTCCTGGGATTGGGATTATGTTGTGTGTTGAGTCGTTCAGGGACTGAGGTGTGAGAACGGAGACCCTCACTCTGTAAACAACCCCGATACACACCCTCCTTTGCACAACTTGTTACTTGAATGTTGCCAAAGTTAAGTGTCAAAGAGAGGCCGTATGATCTTGATAATGTCTAGAGATACAAAAGTATTTTGTATAATGTTAATTTATTTTTATTATATATATTTAGTTTGCATTTGATCAAAAAGAAGTCGGTCTGATGGAGGCAGTTCTGTTTGAAATTGAACCCTTAAATCTGTTCATCAACATTGAATGATTTGCTCCGCGCTGCATTAAACATGGATGCAGGTGTGGTATGTTATGAAGACAATCATTTGCTTTAGAATGCACACGGATCTCCTTCCCTTCAGTGTCGCTGTCACTTCATGTCTCATGTAAGAAACGTGAAAACAGGACCTGCAGATTTCTGTTAAAATTCATTGGGCATAAGTTTTGTCAAAATAAATGTTCCCACTTTACAGTTTGTCGATGAAACTCTTTTGACTTGTGACCGAAAGACACACGAGTTAGGCCAATGGTATAAAGTTGAATAACGAAGAAACTGCATTCACAAAAGTATAGCTGTCAAATTCGTTAGGTTTGTGCTTCATGCCAGGAAGAAACACAGAATCATGAGTAAAATATCAAGAGTTAAGATCGACAAATGAAACTGCAAAATCAGAAATGTTAACACGACAGAATTTTCTAAAAAAAATTTAAAAGAATTTTTAAAAAGAAAAAATGAGCTCTGTGTCGTGCTTTAAGTGAGCTTTTAGAACACCTTGTTACCTGAAACATGACCCACATTTGCCCTGTAATCCAGAGGTTACACTGTGACAGTAAGAGAAACAATGCAACACTAAAGAAACAAAGGGCCCACGTTTTAGCCTGAGATTGAAAAGAGACGACAACATGGTGTAATCCCTTTGGCTAGAGTTGCTGACAGGGGATAACCCTTTTAAAATGGCCCCTCTTTCCTGTCCTGTCCCATCCCCTGCCCCGTGACCCCCCCCCCTCCAGCCCCTGCTTGTCTTTCACCACACACTGACTGACTGACTGACTGACTGAACTGTTACTATGCCCATAAAGACACCTGCTCTCAGGAAACCACAAGCAGCAGCACCTGACCGACACTGAGGAACCCCCAAATCACTCGTTCTTTCCTTCCTTTTTCCGAACCACAAACAGCAGGACGACACTCAAAAGGAAATAAGGTCAGTGGATCTCTGATGTGGTGGCTGATGGGAAGCGGCCTGGGGCCTGGATCCCAGAGCTCGGTGTCGTGGATGTTCTGTTGTCGGACATGTTTTTGTGGAATGCAGTGGTGATGTTGGAGCTGGATGGATGAGCTGTCTGGCTGGGGAAGCTACTATGTTTTTACAATGCTGTGGACTACACAGTAACCTGATGATCGCCTTTTGCCAGTTGTGTGTAAAACTTTATCGATCAATTTGTCTATCTAAGAAGCAGGTGCTAAATAACTCTAAAAGCACTTTTACTGTGGTATTTCTGATACGATGGCTTTCTATTATTAGTCAGATAAAAATTCTGAAATGAATGTAAAAACAAAACTAAAAAACAACTAAAAAGTCAGAAATAGTCAAGTAAACTATCTTAAAGTACAAAAACCGAAAAAGTATCAAATTGAAAGTACCGGTACACCTCAATTGTACTTTAGTTCATGGAGTAAATATGCTTTTTGTTACTGTCCACCATTGTTAACACCAAGCTGTATTAACTCTCCTGTAGCAGACATCCACTTGGACCAGACCATCCATAGCTCATCCACTGCGGGACCAAGAACACAACGGAGCGGTCGCATCATGATAGAGAGTGACAGAGAGCTGTCGGCCATGGTGCAGGAGCTGTGGGACAATGACGTCAACAGGTTCAAACCTGGAAAAGACTACAGGATCTCTCTGCAGGTGCACCACACGTACACACTCTCAGACATGAGGCCTTCATTAGCCATGGCTCACAGCTTGTTATGTGTAGTTTAGTTGGTGCTGAAGACATTAACCTATATACCCAAGCTATATACTTTATATATACACTATATACTTTGTATGTGCTTTCCAACTTTAGTATGAAAAGAGAAACCCTACTGGAGAGGTAAAGAACATGTGACAGGGAGCAATGAGGATTGTGGGGAATGTGGTCTTAATCTCAACTGCCAGCTCAGATTAGACAACAGAACATTTTGATATCTATGTTTGGTTCTGTTGTTTGATGTAGCAGCTTTTCTCACCTGTATTTATATATATTTCTTACTGTTAGGTGGTTTGGTTATTGTTTTACACTGTGGCAGTGCATCCGTGTTGCAAAAGTATCTCCGACGGCATTCGCAGTGCACGAAAGCAAGCAAATAAAGCATCTGAGATGTGCCATAAATACATGTACGAGTCCAATTATTAAGTTTGAGTGGTTCTCTTCCTGCTGCAGGGCAAAGCTGGAGACAGCATGGGCGTCAACGACAACAATGACGGAGCCGGGTATCCTCTGTTTACATTTGTCGATGAGAACCTTTTCAAAAAGGAGACTTTTTTAGGTAAGTGCATTAAAAGTGAATTATCCTTTCTTCATCGTACGCAAATGCTGCGTCAAAAATGTTTGAATTGACGTAATCTCTTCACACATTCCACTGTACTGTTTACCAGTTTGATACCATCCTCCTCCTCGCCTCCCCTTCAGAGTAAAGCTTCTTCATCTACTCATAATCTCCTTATGACGAACAGTGGCATGTTGCATAACCACAGAGCATGTGGAGTTCACTGCGCTGGGTGCAGAAACATGCTCCTCTATAACCACTGGCTTCTTTAAATCTTCCTACGAGTGAAAACTGCTGAAGAACGCTTCATTCGGACAATTCTTTTCTCAGGATGTTTTCCGCAGATTTATGCTGTGTAACAGAGGAGTTATTGGAGAATTATGTAACAGTTGGTTAATCAGAGTTCACTCTGAGGCAGCTGCCCTCATGAAAAAAAGGAGGATTTTCCATGGTCTCTGGCAACCTGCTTCAGCTTTCATAATTGTCATTATATCCATGTCCCAGACTGAACACAATCCCTTATTGAAGAGTGTCTGTGTTTGTTTCTACAGCCTTTATCTCCCTGTTAGATAACTATGTGAGTGACACCGGTGAGCCAGAAATTGTAACCCCTGAGGAGGTGGCAGAGAACCACAAATTCCTGGACTCCATCATTCAGAGTCCCACTATGAAGGTACCTGCTGGGACATTTGGAAATAACCCTTTAAATAATAATATAATACAATTAAACTGACTCTCACAATGATTGAATTAGTCTACACACATGCTACAGACTCTGTGAGGTTGTACACAGACACAGCTTTGCTTTTAGCTAAATGCTAATGCCAGCATGCTAACATGCTCTCCATGACAAAGCTAACAAGTTGATCGATGTTTAGCATGTATAATGTTCACTATGTACTGTATCTTAATGTAGCAAGTTAGCATGCTAACATTTACTCATTATTGCCACCAAAAAAGTACAATAGAGGCTGATGGGGATATCATTAGTTTTGCAGGTGGTATGTTTTTCACCTGATGATGGTGGAAGATGAAAAGTCAGGGGGGGTCATGAAAGTCAGTAAGATTGATTGTCTAGGAACCATGAATGTCTGCACAAAATTTACTGGCAATCCATCAGATAGTTGTTGAGACATTTCAAATGTAAATGAAAACATTTCACAAATAAATTCTTGTTTGTTTGCAGCTAGCTCATAAATACCTGGTCGAGAAGCACCTCTCTCCAAAGGATGAGACACAATTCAAGGAGCAGCTGTACAGGATCTGGTTTGAACTTTACGCGAGGAGAGGATCCAGCAAGTGGGTGGAATCTGGCACAGCACTTAAATATAACTTCACCCGTGGAATCTGGCACTACGGTGGTAACCTTCTTACTGTGAGAAACTGGCTCTGTCTAACACATCCAGTCAGCATCGCAGTGAACTGCTGAAAAATGCATAATTGCTGCACGTTCAGGAAGGAAACAGCCACTAAGAACCACACTTTGTCCAAATGGCACACAAGTTAATACAATTTAGTCGTTTAAATAGATGCCAAGACGCAAAGGTTAGAGTTCCATCTGCCTTTAAATGAACTGAGCCGACACTACATCGGCTCGACAACAAATCAGCCAATGTGTCTGCGTGTCTCCCACCAGGCCTGACTCCTCTGGATTTGAACATGTGTTTGTTGGAGAGACGAGAGGAGGCAGGACTGTCATCGGCTTTCACAACTGGATCCAGCTCTACCTGCAGGAGAAGCTGGGACACATCGATTACAAAGGCTACAGCGTCAATGCAAATTCACCCCAGGTACGGTGTAATTGTTACTTTTTAAGTTGGACCTCGATGGGGGACTGAATATATGTTCAGCACTGCTGTATCTGTATTGCATATCTGACAAATCTTTCTTCTGTCCTTTCTCGTCTCCTCGACTCCTCCCAAGTTGACTTGCACTCTTTGCAGTCTTGCTCTAATCTCTTGCTCACATCATCATTCTTGCACGGTGATGAGAAACGTCACATCCTGCTATGACCACGTTTTGCCTTCTCTCACTCTGCCCAGCTCTCTGTATTCTGTCTTTCTAACCCGAGCCTAATGCAAATTTCTGGGCATTTTCGGGCCCATTTTCTATTTAAACATGGTAAGGAGTCTCCTGTAGTTTAGCACTGGACCCAAGGGACACCATCATCTTCAATATTACTCATCACCTGCCGTTTCTTTTTCTCTCTCTCTCACTGCAGCCCGACGAGAACAAACACATCCTGGCCCTACAGTTCAGCTGGAAGGACGGTATAAAGCCCAAGGGCAGCATCTTCATCGGCGTCAGTCCCGAGTTTGAGTTCGCCCTCTACACCCTCTGTTTCCTCACCTCGCCCAACGAGCGCGTCAAAGTCCAGTTCAGTTTCTACGACGTGGAGATCGTTTGCCACCACTACAACCAAAAGCACATCGGCACCACTTACCCTGTGCTCCTTAAGTACCGGAAACCTACCTAGTAACTTGACAAGTAATCAATCTGAGACATAACTTCTCCAACACTTGAGCATACACACAAAGTGTGACAGGTGTTGTTGTTGTCTTCTTATTTTAGATAAAGATACAATAAAACCTTACAAGACCAAATTGAAATAGTTTTTATTGCTGATCCTGAAAAAAAAGTATATTTTCTCAACTCTCTCTCTCTCTCTACATGCTTCTGTATTCAAATGATACATTTATATATAAATCATCCCCACAATTACCAGTTGCAATATTAAAATGACAAACACATTAATACGCCAATAATTATAATACAGTAACATGATTGTTTGCATTTTGCAAAGTGAGTGCTTTTCCTTTTGATACTTTAACTATATTTTGATGCTAATATTTTTGTCTTCAGTACATTTTTGAAGCAGGATTTTTACTTTAAACTGAGCATTTCAGTGGTATTGCTAAAGGATCTGAGTATTTCATCCACCACAGATGATTAATGACTTTTACTCAGTATTTAATCTTCCTTAGTATTTAAATTTCCCCAGCGGTTAGACTTTCCTAGCTGATTATGTCAGTAACTTGTTATATATATATAGATATAGATTGTTTCACTTTGTTCCAAGCGGGGGCGGTAAAGGGTTTGTTGTGGCCAATGACGTCAATCAATTGGCGAGCAAGACCTTTATCAAGTTGGCAGGAATGAAGAAGAGATTATCCGGTTATGGTTTCAAAATAAAAGCATCAGAACTTTCCATATTTCAACAAAAATGATAACATTTCTTAACGATAAAGATGGACTGAATATATATAGTAGCACAAATGTAGACTACATTGTACATCACAAAAAACTCAGCGTTTTTACTATTTATAGTTTTCATTCTGGACTTTATCTTTAAAAAAAAGAAGATAACCGGAAGTCTTGTGTTTTATGCTAACAAATTGTAGCTTGGCTGTGGTGCGACCGCTGTGCAGTCGAGGTTTTCGTTTTCGCGAAGACTGAGTTTACAGTTTGTACTGTTATATAATTTAGTAGTCGTTTGGTGTCTCGTCGGCTCCTTCCTCTTCTCTGTTGTTGATTCCCAACCGTCCAAACAACCGGAATGGCTGAACCGAGCGGCAGATATCAGCAGGTATGGAAACACTATCGGTTACTAGCAGCTAACGCGTTAAAAGATGTAACATCACGTGTTAACGTCGGTTTTATATGCTGTTAAAGACGATGACAAACAATTGTGTCTGACGGTGTCACCTTCCTGAAAACGGATCTCATTGTGATTATCGTCTATTAGGTGGAATTTGTTTGCGATTCATGTCGTTTAATTTTCAATCGGGTGGAAGATGGCTGTTGGCGTGACACCAACGCTAACATTTTCCGTGTTTGGATGTGGCACATGACCCACTGCACAGCGAGTGGGCGTGTTTGATGGTCATCTAAATCCACTGGGTAACCTGTTCAGCGAGGTTTATTGTAGCCTACTTATTAAAGATTAAATGAGTAGACTGGTTTGTTGACCTTATAATCAGTTGTTAATTTCAAGAGGAATTTACAGGAAATGATTGCAACAGAAATAAACATCAATCAGTTTGATCACCTGGTTGTCGTCTGGCAGCCACGAGACAATGTGTTATTTGCATCAATAAAGGAAAATGTCAAATGAAAGGAGTTCATTCGAGTCTTATAATAGTGGGCAGTATGTAACATTTCCTCCATCTTGGTGTATGTGATTAAAAGATGCACTTACCAATATTTTTAATATTAACCACAGATTAAATGAAAGAGGTGTCGCTCTAGTAAAGTAGCAATAATGTCAGGAAGTAAAGTGACATTTTTTTTTATCAACCTGACAAAATTACGTTCTTGTGGGAAGAAAAGAAAAGGCAACACTCTAACTTCTTCACATTCTAATAGAATGTGAAGAAGTTACATTGTATCAGAATGTAAGTTCTTCACATTCTAATAGAATGTGAAGAAGTTACATTGTATCAGAATGTAGCTTCTGTGTACAGAATGATTCTATTGAAGTTATTCCATTTTTAAATGTTTTAGACAAGTCGCTAATCACTTTAAAAGAGTGATTATAGCTGATTTAACTTACAGACATGAGATTGATCTTCTCATGTCACTCTCTTTATACAATGATATAAATTCATCCCCGTTTTATTGATATCTTACGAAATATTACTCCTCACTTTTCGTGCGTTTTTCCTGCAAAAGTCCAGCAACATGAGTCTGTTTTCGCTTGTTACATGCATACTGTCTTTTCAAAATAAACTTCCATCTTCACAGGAAACAACTAAGGTTTAGAGACTCACTGGGTTAAGCTAGAGAGTGATTGGAGTTAATTATTTGGAAATGCACAAGTTGCCAGTTACAAGTTGCCATTGTCCCCATTTTCCCTCTAATGTAATCTTATGGTGGGATTACAGTTCCTTAATAGGAAATAATAGGAAACTATAGGACCACGAGAGACACAGAGTGTTAGTCGACTAAGCATTTCTTTGGTGGACAGCCTGACTTCCCGCTTGGTATTCGGCACTATTTCCGTGGTCTTTCCTGGCTGATGATCAAATCTCGGTTTTAAAATCTAGCTGATTCAAGAGTAAGTGGCCGAGTCCCGTGTGTCCAACTTTTAATAAGAGACAGAAATGAGCAATCATTTTTAATGTTCTACATGCTTGGAACACTTTGTACCAGTGACGGAGCTAACAGTGTTTGCCTGCACCTAAGGTTCCCTGTGAGCCTGTAAATGAACCAGGATGTGGTTGTTCCTCCTCCCACAGCTGCCCAATGAAGAGGACCCAGAGGAGAGTCCGCAGGTAGCAGCTGACGCTCCGCCTCCATACAGCAGCATCACAGTGGACAATGCCGGTAAGACCGTGACTCATCCAGATGTTTCCCTGGTGCTGAGGGGATTTGCAATGGTGGCTCGTGGAGATAACCGGAGGAAACACGGCGCTTTAAGATATCTTGAGCCAGTACATAACGGTGGACTACAGAAAGAACACAAGGGCATTGTATGTGGTGTTAATATTGATATCTTTATAACTGCAGTATACCGCACCAAAAGGATAAATAAATAACAACTCGGGTCAGAAATAAATTAGTCCTTCAGGGATGGTCCGATGCTTTAATATTTGGTATCTGATGATACTGAGTCCAATCCTATACTTATATTTACCAAAATGTATCTGACACACTCAAATAACAGCTGTAGCCTTCTAAATTTAGCTCATTTTATTTTTCACGAGCTTTCTTGATCCAAATACTGAAGGTGTTGATTCAAAGCTATGAAGTTGATCGGCTTTAATTATCGATATGATATGAATACAAGTCTAACTGGGAGAACGTGACCGTCGGTCGGCCTCTCTGTGGGATGTAATAGCTGACTCGTACATGTTTAACCCTCTTCCAGAACAGCAGTCAAACATTTGCTCTATGAGCACATTCTCACCCCGTAGAGATTTGTCTCGTTTGCATAAGCAGCCCTTTTATTGTAATGTGGATCACCTCCACGTCTTGAGCCCGTTTCCACTTGCAGAGCTGCGTGCGGTGACGAGTGATGTAAAACTTCAACCTGTAGTTTGTGAAACTGTGCCGTTTCTCCTTCAGCCTACTTTGACTACAAGGAAGACGGAGCTTTCCCCAAGCCGCCATCGTACAGCATAGCGACCACGCTGCCTTCCTATGACGAGGCAGAAAGAACCAAGACTGAGACTGCTGTTCCCCTGGTAACTGGGAGAGTGAGTATCTCACTTTTTTTTGTGGTCACATTCATTATGCACACTGTAGCTTCCTGTGTGCCCAAACACTTCCTGTGTTGTCTGCAAGGCAGGAAGTGTTTAGCTCCCTGCAATGGAAAGCTTTTCTCTTCTTGTTCTGTCTTCAGTAATGATCGGGTCTATTTGTCTTTCCGACGTGACATTTATTATCTCTGATTAAATGACATTCAGTAATATTTTTGCACATAATGACCACAGTCTATGTCTTAATGCCTCAATCTCCCAGGCCCCCTGAACTACCCTCTGTGCACTTTGCACCCGAGTTTGTTTCTGAGTAAAATCTGAGTAAATATGTGTGCAGCATTTGAAACGTGAAGGGAGCTTCACCCTGTAACATGTTCTGTACTGATGCAGGGTTTACATTACATGGTATTCAACATGTGACGTAGCTTAATAGAGAATTTATTGCAGTTGGGAATACTATCAGCTGGTGACACCGTTATATTTTAGCAGTTAAATCCAGAAAAGATACAAATATATTAATATACAATTATCGCTGCAGTTCTGAAGAGCGATCCAGTTCCTTGATATTCTATCACATAATGAAGTTGGATTTCATACTGTTAAAATACAGATCTAATGTCCGGTGCTTTAGTTGTTATTATAGTATTTTACAGTGTTATAGTGACATATTTTACAGATTAAAAATAAGCCTTATATTTAAAAAAAGGGGGGGGGGGGGGGGGGAAGCAGTGAAATCTCCATTCAAGCTGTTGTTGTTTTGCTGCAACCACATGTTACTAAAAACCAAAGCCAAAAACCTTCTTCTCTTTACAATTCAGTTGTTCATCTTTGGTAGTGTAATCCTTTTGATAGCCATGTTCTTTTATAAAGACAAAGCATTGGTTTGCAGGAACCTTTTTTGTCGTTTCCAGTTACTGTGTAGCTGTCTTTTTCATTTTCACTTGCCATTAACTTGCATTTAATGCCCGAGGGAGTGTTAGAAAACAACAGCGGTAATCTCACCTCCCGTGTGCAATCTTCACCACCGAGTCTCTCCGTCTTATCCATCAGAAACTAAACGACGGGCCTTTTTAGAAATGACTTTCAGACAGCTCATTGCTGGCCTCTAGTGGTCACTGTGATGCGTTGCACTTTGTCTGCATGTGGGGGCCCTCCTGTTTGATTTGCTGCTGTTGTGTTTCTCTGCCACACGCTGCCTTGCGCTCAGCAGCAGCAGCAGCCGGCTCAGCACAGGGAGCGCCTGGAGACTTTTGACGATGTAATTCGCAGTTCACTGGAGGTAACTGGGAGGAGTGGGAGGAGAGTATGTGTTGTGTGGGGAACGCAGATGTGCCCACCGTGTTGATGTATTCGGTTCCTCACCCTTCGTGTGTGTTTGTGTATTCAGAGTGCTGTAGTGCTTAGTTGATCTACCGGTTCTCCTACACTGAATGTGACTGACTCCAGACCTTTGTGGATAATGTGACACTGATGGTGTTAAATGGGCTTGCTGTGTTGTGGTGGTTACATCGGTCTCTTGGTTGTTTGTGTTGTATTTACTCTGTTTTGAGCAGAGCTTGGTTTCCACTCATGTGCTTGCCCGTGCTCAATTCGCTTTGATCTCCGTCATTACTTTGTAATTTGAATTGGTTGAAATAAACACGCTTTATCAGAGTGATTGATTTGTTGACTGGGAATAGTTTGATAGAAGTAGAGTCCTTGGAAGCTCTGCCACTGCCTGGCTGTGGTGAAGCTCTGTGAATGCTTAAATAACTCGGCTCTTTTTTTTTTTTTTTTTTTTTTTTTTTTTCTTCTTTTTTTTTTTTGCTCCCCTGTCGCTTCTTCTGTCGCAGGATGAAGACTTTGTGACCAGAGACGACTTCGAAGACACCGATCAGCTGAGGATAGGAAATGACGGCATCTTCATGCTGACTTTTTTCAGTTAGTTACTCCACCTACTCGTCTGTTTGTCTCTCTTTTCTCTCCCATCATCGTCTTTCATCCTTCGGCTCTTCTCTTCCTAGATTTGTGCAGAAATTACATCTTTTTCTTTTTTGAGATACAAATGAGTGAATTTCCCGTCTTTTCACAGTTTTTAATGTTTGCTGACATGTCTAACGCTCTTTTTTTAATTTATTTTTTTCCTCTCTGTCCAGTGGCATTCCTGTTCAACTGGATCGGTTTCTTCCTGTCTTTCTGTCTGACCACCTCAGCAGCCGGCCGCTATGGGGCTATCTCAGGCTTTGGCCTCTCTCTAATCAAATGGATTCTCATAGTCAGGGTACGACAAGGAGACCCCCCCACACACACACACGCACGCATATAATGTGGTTTTACAACTCAAAACACTCTGGTGTGTTCATGTTGTTGCCGTAGTGGTTGTCTTATTCTAACTGCCTTTCTGTTGCGTTTCTAGTTCTCCACATACTTCCCCGGTTACTTTGATGGACAGTACTGGCTGTGGTGGGTGTTCCTGGTGTTGGGTAAGTAGCCAACCTCTGAACTTGAGTGATTCAAATAGAGAATCGAATGTTTTTGTCCTGCTTGTGACACATTCGTGCTCAGTGGAGCTCCACTGCAGCAGTGTTGAGGTCTCGTACGTTACAGAGTCTTAATTATCCTGTTATTGACTACAGCACATAGAGGGGCAAAGTGGGAAGTTAAAATTAAATAAATTAACTAAATTCTCATAATCACAATCAATATTTTGATATTAACAATAGATTACTGTAGTGAATTACAACTCCCTTTTATGGCACTTCCAGTTGTGTCTCACTTTACCTTTGTTGTTTTTTTGCTCTCCAGGCTTTCTGCTCTTCCTTCGAGGATTCATCAACTATGCCAGAATCCGCAAGATGGCCGACACCTTCTCCACCCTGCCCCGCACCCGAGTCCTCTTCATCTACTGAGCTCACAATCCACCAGTTTTCATCATCATAATTTTTCTCCCCCTTTTCAGTGAAACATACTGTCTGGTTTTATCCAATCACAACGGGAGAAAACGACACGTTCCCCCTCTGCTTGACATGATTTGGACAATACAACTGTTGTCCCCTATTTGGTGTAAAATAGTGAAATGCTGTAAAAATCCTTCAGTTGTTAGTGGTGAACTGTCAAGTGCTATTTACAGTTATGAAGTGTGTGATGTATAAATGAATGCCTTATTTACAGTTTTACTGCCTGTTGGTAGCAGCAGCATGAGCTGTTCTCCTGTTAGCCACCAGGGGGCAGTCTGGTTTGTGTTTTCTCTCACCAGTCTTCTTTCAGATGATGTCATGGTTCTCAGCCCCAGGACTCAGTGGGTCATTTTGGGGGTTATGGGTTGATTTACTCGGTTTCAAATCATATATTTCAAGTACCAGTTTAATGTGCTTTTAACCCTTTTGACTAATGCGTGACTAATAGTGTGTAATTCAGATAATATAAGACCGAAAACGGAAAATGATTAGATTTTGTTGTGGTGCAGGCGCTGAAAAGTTTGAGGGTGGTATAGAAGATCGAGGGCCATGTTTCCCCTCATATAATTAGAAATGGTCCTTACACACACTGTAATCAGGAGTGTTGTTTCCTTACATATAACACATGTATGTCAGCAGAGAGGCAGGCTGGGGATCACTGCCCTGCTCAAGGACCCAGTGAGAGGAATGGAATAAGCTGATAGTCTGTCACTCCATTCACATGTGCAATTAGACGCCCTCATTGGTCTCCAATGAGGAAAAGAAAAGATCGTATTGACAGAAGTGATTTGGAAAAACCGCCCTGTAAAGAACATGGAATACGTTATTCAGAGCAGAGGTTATTTTCTTCTTTGACCCAACAATGAATTATTGAAAGTCATTCTTTTTATGTACATCCTCATTGTAGTGGAAGTGGAATGATTATTTTTTAGAAGAATTTCAATATCTGGCTTGGAAAATGTTTGGAATTAAACTGGAAAAAGTTAATTTTGGTGTTAAGCTATTTATTACATGTTAATAAGCTCCCTGTATAAAAAGTTTTCAGGTTACAGTAATGCCACTTCTTCTCAGTTACGCTTGTTGATATTACCCAAAGGGAGGAGATATTTCTGTCACGGCTGGATTTTATTAAACATTTACATACAAACATTGCAGTCAAGTCATTCCATGCTGTTGCGTTCAGGTGTAGCTTGACTTTAGGAACACTTTAACGCAACGCATTTCAAAGAATCAACAGATTAACATGGTCGAAAAATAATTATTTTTCTCTAAACTACCCAAATTAGAGGATTATATCAAGGATTTGAGAAATGACATTCTCCCAGTGGATGATAAATTGTTTTAGGCTTGGATCAAGTTTAATTTGTGCTCGACCTCACTCAGAAAGCAGTCTTCCATGTGAAGTGTTTTATAGTGTGTCTGGTGTGTGGAGGATTCAGAAAGGTGCGGATCCAGCAGTCCTCGGCCACAGAGAGAGGAAGCTGAGCTGACCACGACGTTCAGTTACTGACATGAGACGTACTTTTAGCCATGCTAAATTTAACATGCAGGAGGTGTGTGTGTGCGTGTGTGTGTGTGCGTGTGTGAGAGAGAGAGAGAGAGTGTGAGTGAGCGCGCACAGGAATTGAGATGATTTGCTGGTGGCGGTTAATTATACATGTCAGCAGTGTTTTTCCTTGCAGTTGGAACAGGAAGTGAAGGTCACCCCACCTGGAAGACATGTGGCACCGACTGACAGGGTTTGGTTTCACTGGAAACTTTTGCTGTCACGTATAGTGTCATATCAGCACGGTTGGATATTGGCCTCTAGTGGTGCTCAGTTGACATGACAGCTCCTTTCAGGTCATCTTTCACAGGGCACAGAGGGGAAAATGTCACTCTCAATTCACTAGAAATGATTATTTTACAGCATGTGATTACAGTATTCTCAAGAGAATAACAAAGGAGTCAAGCAAACCAGATTGTCATGCTTGCAAAAATACAGTCTTAAGGTGGATATTAATTGTGAAGTCACTCCATGTGGTCCATGCTTTTTTAGAAAAGTGGTAAGATTAGATGACAGGAAACTGAATTTGACTGCATGCTGAGGCAACTGTTGAATGCCGGGTGACATTAATAACAAATGTTTCTCTTCCCTATAAACTATACACTTCCTCTGCTGTTTACCTCTGACTTGCTGCACCACTGCTTTCTGAAAATCACATTTCCTGAAGTCATTTCTTCCTATGCACTGTGCACTTTGGAGAAAACAGAAACAGCTGTTGGTCAGAAATTGCAGATGTGCAGTAGCTCTGGGACTAAACATGTGAACTCAAACTGTCTCAGCTTTAGAAAACAAATGAGTATTTTTACGATAATCTTTTTTTTTTTTTTTTACTTATTCGATTTCTCTCAGCAAAAACAGCCTGTAAAGCTAGGCGAGAGAATAAGACAAATAGGGCTAAAGGTCCTCCTCCAGACCATCAACTACAGTCCACTGAACCACCACGTCACCACAGCACCCTGGATAAACAAACTTCATTTTGCCAGGTGCAGACGGGTTGAATCGCTGACAGTGTTTCAGCTGTAAATTCTGGCAAAGCACACACAACAAAATTCCTTATCATCGTACACAGATTCAGCCTCAGTCCACTCGAATCCCTCTGTCACGTCATTCCTCCTCTGCTCCAGCAGGGTCACCCAGTCCAGGTGTTCGCGTTATCCAGATGTCATTCATAAAATAACTCCATTGTGCCAAGAGCTGTCTGTGTCTTGTCAGCTGCCCTCGATTTACAGAGACGGAAGTATTTCTTGGAGTAATTGATGGGAATTATGTGTGCTAGCCAAGTGCCTGCACTGCTTGCATGTTTTAGCTATCAAAAGATAAGAGGAGACTTTCTGATTTACAGCGAGCCTGGGAGTGAGCCATCTTTCCGAAGAGACATGCTGAACTTTTCTGGCTTGGGTTAGATAGACTTTTTGTGCAAACAATTTTAATTTACAATAGCTGATGAAGTGATACGATAAGACAAAAAGCCTGTAGTCCGAAAACAATAGGGAGACTAACATAATCACTACTCAAGTTTGTTTGGAGGTTGTGTTTTTTGTGGCTGTGTCACCAGGTAGGTACGACACTGCAGGCTGTTTTAAAACCTTTTCTGCAGAAAATAAATGCTTGTGAGACTTTGATGCTATTAATCAGTAATATTATCATTTACAACTGCTGTTTTTCTACTGTGACATGTCAAAATTCATACCTGAAAAAGACTTATTTTAGATTTCTATAAAAAAAGGTTTTTAGTGACACAGAAAAATAGATTTTGATATTTTTTCTTTTTGTTCAGGCTCAAATAAATACTTTGACATTTTGGGCAAAACACTTGCTTTCCTGTTGGCAGTTGAATGAGAAGACGGATACAGCTCTCAAACACCAGAGTGGTATCGACCTCCTCATTTAACTTTCGGCAAGAGAGCGATAAGGATTGTGTTGCATGATCATCACTTTCTCTTTTTTTTTTATACCTCGCTCATCAACTTCCACTGTTGGGCTTGAGAGCAAGGCACTTTGAATTTAAATTGCTCCACTAAAGTTGCTCAACAGCACAATAATGGCCATATTGAGCAGCTGCCAGGTGTGAAACTACTACTGCTGTATGAAGGTTAAAAACAAAAATCCCTCCCATACATGGGACAAGTGGGATACATCAAATTAGAGACACCGATTTGCACGAGACAAGAACGTTTCACGTGATGTGACCCTGGATCAGATGTGTGTTCGCTTTGCCACACAGATCACGTAGATTGCTCACTAAGGGAAATTGTTTTCCCTTAGTGCACAAGGGAGTGCACAGCGTGTGCACAAAAACAGAACATATAAAAACCAAATCACGGTCTTAGTCCATGTTAAAATAAGTGCATGAGAAACAATACAGCAATAATCAGTTTACAGCACCAGCATGTTGTGCCAATAAGAGTTCCAGAGGGCACTGTTCTGTTCAAATGGAGCTAAAGCTGCCTTAGTTTTCTCAGAAAGGCAGATGGTGGAACGAGCGAAAGGCCGGTGGAAAAATCACTTGTAACATGTTTATCGTCCTCGGTAAGGCGTAGATAAAACGCTCGGCTTTAAAAAGATCCATTCTGTTAACACAAGGGGGGTTCTGGGAAATGTGGTCTGAGATATACTAGCGATGACCATCTCCTCCACACTCTCACTTGTACTGAAATTATACCAAGATATCAAATTTCAACCAAAATGAATTGATATCAACAGATGAGCTCTTACATGATTAATTAAAAGCCGCTGCAGGCGTTCCACCGGAAACTTTTCACATTTTGAATTCATCGTTATTTATTTCTAAGACAGAATATCCTGCCAGAAGTTCCCATCACTTTAGACAAACGGCAGTCGGTCAGAGCCTCCTGCTGTCAGTCTGAGTTTCAGATGGGAGGTTTCCCAGGATGTGGGGAGGATGTGGGTTGCATCCAAATGACATGTCCGTCTTTTTCTTCAGTGTGTGTGTGTGTGTGTGTGTGTGTGATTGGGGGCAGGGGGAGGGGTGTTATCGTTGATGTGTGAGTCATCCTGACCCTCCCCTCCTCTCTCTGGCGTATTCACGTGTGTGCGTATATGTGGATGTGCTTGCGTGAGCGTCCCAACGCGTATAGGCAACGCGTGTTTATGTTGGAAGTCTGCAGGCTTCTAATGGCAAAAAACAGGCTATGATGTCATTTTTACCTGTATGTGTGTCATGGCGAATGACGTGAGCGTCCCTCTGTATTGTGTGTACGCACGTGTGCGTGTGTGTGTGTGTGTGTGTGTGAGGTTGGTAAAGCAGTGGTGACTCATCCACAGGCCAACGTTGCCTGTTACCATGGGTCACACACAGCAGGTTCCCCCACCTCCCCATGAGCTCCCTCTCTTCCTTATCCTCTTCCTCCTTCTCCTCCCCCTCCATCTCGTCCTCTTCTTTTTCCTCTCTGACTCACAGATGACTCCCCCACCATCACCAATGACATCACTACCCCCTCCCTAACACTTTGTTGTGGTGAATCATACTGTACGTTGAGATTTTCTCAGCTCCTCTCCTCAGCCAACCACCTGAATGTCACCCGTTCATTCATGAAATCACAATCAAGTTGCGGAAGCGTTTGTCTCTGACCACTGTGACCGTTAAGTGATTTCATCCATTATAAGATATGTGCAGTGATGTAATCAAAGGGTATCAGACGAGCAGGGTTTCAGAGTCACAGAAAGCTCCAACTCTAAATGCAATTTTTATGTCTGTGTGTGTTTAAAGGAGGCGACATGTAATGATAAGAATCGTCTCCTGGCTGAGTTACTGGAAGTCCACAGAATCAGAAGGTGGGAGCTGCTTAAAGGTTCAGCATTTCAAAAGATGGAGGGTGAGTTTAAAAGTACTCGCTGGTGTGTTTGACCACTAGTAATGCTACAAAGGAATGCTTTCAAGCATGGCTATTTTCTTTGTAATGCATATGGCAGACTCAATATACGTGCCACCGGTTTCATGCTGGTGGTGCAAACATGCAAACAAGCAGTGTTGCGCCAAAATAAGGAAGTAAAGATTAGCTAACATAGTTATTGTGCATTTGAACACCCATACTACCATACTATTTAGTATGCCAGAAACATTTATTTTTTAGTCAAATGCAGTATATGCCAAAAATACCAGGATGTCCTACTGCATCCATTCGCAGTTTGCAAGCCAGCCTGTATTTCTGGCTATTCTGACCCACAATCTTCTGCAGCGGATATATGAGCAAGAGGGTCAAAGTTTAAGGTGCAATGTTATGACGAAGTAGTATGTCCCAATTTAATGCATAAAGGCAGCTGCTGTATGTCCTAAAAATATAAAGAAAATGTCTGTGAAGGACACATTTCATGCATTTTGGTGAGAAACACTGAATGTTAACATTTAATTAGAGTTGCTTGGTGCCGTAGACATCCAGATATTAAACCAAACTCACCTTTCAATACCTTTAAATTGCAGAAAGAGAGACTTTTAGTTAGTTAGTGGAACAGAATAACAAAAATGAACACAATGTCAAAGGCCAGTACAATAAAATATGCTTTCTCTGGCCTTTTTCTGTCGCCCTTTACTGGAAATGTATCAAATGTACTAGATTTTGCAGCGTACACAAATGGTTTAC